GGAGGAGCACAGAGACTCCCTCAGGGTGGGTAAATAATGAAGTGAATTAAATATAGGATATCGTTTTCACATTTTCTTTTGTCTTTACACAATTCTTAAATCAGCAATTATTCATTCAAAACTATATCATTATTGTCCCATTTGTGGAACAGTGTGTGTCAATAACAGTTCATAGTAAAGGCCTGCACACAAGAATAAAATAAAGAAAGACTCCTTAGAAAATGTTTTTTTCTGTTTCTTTATACAGTATTTCAACAGGGCATCTCAAAAGGTTGCTGGGTTTGTTATGTCAAGTGAAATCATCCTTGGATGAAAAGATGATTGGATTGCTTGCTCTTTTTTGGCACAACTTTTGACTATGTAAACAAATGACACCATTTGTTGTCCTTTGGGAAATATCAGATAGAGAGAATACATGAATTATGACACGTGTTGTTAGATGGAAATATTCAGTTTTATTGCATGTTTTAAATATTTTCCACAAAATATGCACTTGTTTTATTCTGCTGGGAAATCTAAACCTCTACCTTGAAGGAGCAACTAAAGGAGATGTCTGAGCATGTTGCCAGACTGCAGGACACACTGAGATATGAACGGGCCAAGGTATGTAGTATGTGTGACAGATATGTGACTACCTGAATACATTTCAAACATCTCCCCCTTCACAAAATAATCTCTAACTTGTCGCCAGTGCACTCGTCTGCAGCTGCGGGGTAACCAACAGGAGGGCGAGCTGAAGCGCAGAGAGCAGCACACCAACCGACTGAAGGAGCGAATGTCTCAGCTCACTGAACAACACCGAGAGAAGGGACCCTGTGAGGCTCAATCTGTCCTGTATCAGCTAAATCCACACAATATTCATCCATGTTTTCTTAAACCACAAAACATTTACCATATTGCCTTGTTCTCTATAGCCATAGAAGTGTTGAACATTCTCCCTGGAGGTCGAGGCAAAAGAGAACCGCCAATCAAATCATTAAGGTCCACTGCAAAGTAAGATATCACTCTCTGATTTATAGATATAGCCCTTCAAATGTGTTCTCCACCTCCTTTCTAACCCTTTCTCTCTCTCCCTCTCTCCATCTTGTAGACGAGAAGAGGCCACACTGCATCTGATGTTGGAGCGCAGAGAAGCCGAGCTCAGGGAGGCCATGAAGCTGCGCCACAGCCTCACAACTTTACTTCATGGGCTCAGAGTCGACATGGAGCATGTGAGAGAAAGACGAAAGCCTTTAACTGAGACAGTAACTAGAATTAGTCATTCTGCCAAAAATAAATCTGACAAACTATAAGTGGATCTGAAAAGGATGATTTATTTTGTATAGTTACTTTGCTGTCGTGCAACTCTCAATTGAATCGAATGGTCTTCCTCAGCAGATGCTTTGTATGTTAAATATATACAGAAAAGTGATGAAAGGACAAATGCCCTGCAGTGATATGATAAAGAGTATATGTTGCTGTACCTTAGTTGAAGAACAAAATAGTTTGTTTTAGGAGTTAAAGCAGAGTTTGCTGAATACAAGGTTCAGTCAATCCCTCAAAGTTTATTTATATAGCCCAATATCACCAAGTTTACATTTGTCTCGGAACAGTTTGTACAGAATATGAATGCGACACCTTCGGTCCTAAGACCCTCACATCGGACAAGGAAAAACTTCCAAAGAAACCCCACAGTTAATGGGGAGAGCAACAGGCGACGGATCCCTCTACCAGGACGGTCAGACGTGCTATAGATGTTGTGTGTGAATTAAAAAAAGATAATACATTTACAACATAGGTAGTAGATCATCAAAAGCCCCAGAACAGCTTCTAAAACGATCTTGTGTTGATATTCTTTTGTTGATCTTGGAAGTGATTATGCTGGAAAGTAAGATACATATTCAACATAAAACCAGTCTAACCTTGTTTTTAAAGAGCCTGTCTGACGTGCTGGATGTTCAGGATGATTCCCAGACTGAAGACAAAAGGCTAGACGAGGCTGAGGGAGCGCTGGGGGACCATGTAACAGGAGGAGTGGTTCGGAGTTGGAGGCAGGTGCAGAGCAGACTGGCTGAATTCTCTTCTGAAGGTAAACTGCCGGATTTAGCAATCTTTTAAAGTTGTGACCTCCAAAATGAAAAAAAGTATTATTAAGCTGTCTATTTTATATCAGTTGACATATTTTAACTTATTCACATGTAGTGTGTATCACTTAATTGTGTTTAGGCCACACTGGTGTTGGTATCGACCATGAGAAGCTCTTGGCTCGACTAGATTGTGAACTAAAGGAGAGTCAACAGCTTGTAAGAATACAACAGCAGCTGCTACAGGTGTGGTTCAAACACGTTTTCATATGACCTTTTGCTAGTGTCAGACTTTGTAATGCTACCTTTTTGTCTGCAGGACAGCTTTGCTTCCCCTGTTGTCTCTGAACTGGCTGATTCCTACTTTTTGGAAGAGTGGGAGCGTCTTCAGATGCGCTGGGCAGAGCTCGATCATCAGAGGCGGACTTTTGAGAGGGAGAGGAAGTCCTTCACTGAAGCTGCCATCCGACTAAGCCATGAGGTGGGAGGAGAATTTGCAAATTTACCTCAACAGGCTTTATAATCTGTACAGTACACAACACCCTCTTTCCTTACATACTTTATGCGGACGGGGGAAACTACCCCGACGGAAGTGGAAACAGGAGGGATCTCTCTCTGTCTAAATGTGCATTTTCAGTAGTAGTTTCAAACCAGTTGATTTCTTACACTAAGACAAAGACAAAATGTTCTGTTAAAATGTTTCTCGAATGCTAACTTTTAGTGAATTTAGAATAAATCTATATCTGAATGTGTAATCTGGATGTTCTAATTGTCTTTTCATTATATCCCCAACATTTTTGCTAGTAGTGTCTTCCGGTAGCCGACAGTGCAAAAGCGTTGCAACGGCCCAAAACACTCAATTAGGAAAAACGCGCTGCAGAAAGCTAGCGAAGCTAACGAAGCTAACCTATTCTTCAAATATACTGATAAAACACTTACAATAATGAAACAGACTACCTCTGTAAATAGTGACAGTTGGCCAACTTGTGTATATATAATCCCCGTACGTCAACAAGCGCTCCGGTCCCAGCTGTGTGCATCACATTTTATTGTCCCCATTGCCGTTGTGCTTTGAGCTTCCTGCAGCGGTTTCTTTTGTTGGTGTTTTGCTGTATTTATTCAGCGTTTTTAGTAAATGCTGCGTATATTTCATCAAGTTGGTAAAGTGGTGCTTCATTTGCATGTGTTTTGGCACATTTGTGTTTTCATATTTGCATCGTTTTTTTTTAACTGCACAGCGTTTATGCTGATGGAAATGTTTGGGCCGTTGTAGCTCCTTTGCACCTTTCGTCCACCGTAGTGTTTCGCCTTTTTTAAAAGCTGCTTTTTTGAAAGCTGCTTTTTTCACTGTTTGTCTGTACAGCGCTGTGATTTTGAGCAACACAAGGCCTCTCTCCTGAAGCAGAAATATCTGTGTGAGCCACCTCGCTCTGGTAAAGGAGCTCCAACCAACAATAGGACAGAGGGCAGTGCTCTCAGTGAGTATGCAGTTAAATTAAACTAAGTGATGTGTAATCACTAATGTGCTGTGGTGAAATAATAAAATAAAAAAACCCTGATGTGTAGTGGCTCCAGATTTCTGTAGCTTGGGGCCCACTGGCATATCTGGCTGTCTTCCCATTACTCCATCTCCGACCAAGTTGGGGACAGCCGCTCTTTATGGAGTCACGGTACACACCCCCAGCACTCCTGAGCTCTACTCCGCCCTCAATCTGTCCTACAACTGCAGGTTAGTCAAGTCCTGCATTGATAGCAATGGCATGAAGAGAGAAAAAATAAAATTGCAGAATAAACATAAAAAAACATTTTCAGTTATTTTCCCCCTTTTTGTTTTTCTTCTTTTCCTGTCTTCTCCCTCAGAACCAGCGATGTTGACAACCAGTCGGAGACATGGGACGGCCGGGCAGACAGGATGGGGCACACACTCCAGATTCCTCCTACAGACTGGTCACTTGAATCTACTTTTGATGATAGGTGGTAATATATTAAAAAAACATATTGTACCTTATTTCCAACTTTTTAAAAATAAATAAATAAAGGATGATTGTAATGTTATCCTGTGTTATTTTCTTCCACGGTGCAGTTTTAAAACAAATCAACTTGTTGGTTAATCTTCCCTGGCGTTTTCTCAAAGTGGTTAATTATGGCATTTTTGACTATGTTGGGCATTTTGACTCACATCGTTGTCGTACTATTCAGAGACACTTTTGGCTTGCATGTAAAAAAATGTTTACAGTATGATGTATAACATTTGTATTTGTCTCCCATGTGGATAAGTAAAAGTAGGCAGGTAGCCACTTCAAATCTTTTACCAGCACCTCAAGGTCAATCACCATTACTGATTACATTTGAAAAGATTAACATTTAAAGATTAAAGGTGGGGTAGGTAAGTTTGAGAAACCGGCTCGAGATACGCTTTTTGTTATATTCCATGGAATGCTCTTAACATCCCGATAGCAATGAATATCTTAAGTGCTTTGACAAAAAATCCATTAAAAAATGTCATCTGTGGAAGCCGTAGTACTGTAAAAAGCATAACTGGATGGCCTACCTGCCTGTCAGCCTTCCATCTGTGCACAAACTTATCTCGTGCCAGTCATGTGCGCGTTCGTGTGTGTTGGAGGGGCTCTGTAAGGAAGTAGCAGATTTCTTCCGGCTGTGTATTTTCAAATTCGAGCGCACTCAAGCTGGTTTCTCCAAAATTACCTACCCCACCTTTAAAGACTTGTTTTTTTTAAATAGTATTGTCGAAGTAACTAAGTTTTACAAACAAAACCTAAGACAGACAAAACCCATGCTGGGGGGGCGGGCAGAATAGCATGACCACAGTCAACGACCGGCACACGCTGTCCATGAGCCCCACTGATTGGCTCCTGGCACGAGTGGGGGTGTGCACCTCTGATAACCACATGTTGTATGCAATTTCCAATTAGTTCAAAAATCTTCTTCCGGGCGTTCGGAGCCGTGCGTCAGCTACTGTCCTTTACCTCGTTATTACAAAGTCAACAACTCGATCGTCCCTCTGTGAGCGCTGTGCCACACAAGACCCGAAGTTTTTTCCGAAAAAAAGCTAGAATGAACGACTTGTTTTGGGGACTCTTTAATCACTTGAAGTCTGACAGAGATAGTTTCCAGCACTGGAATGACGACATAAAACGGCCGGACACGGTCAGAGAGATGATCCAGCACACAGCAGCTGGGTCCTCCTTGCCGGCCCTCGAAGCTCCGCACCCGAAGTCTGATGGCCTGTGTGGGGCCATAATGCCGGTGTGCATTAACGCAGGTAGCCAACGTGGCGACATTAGGGCAGGCTTCTCGCTGTTTGGCTCTGCGTCTCGTCCACCACCTGATGGGTTGGGGTACTCTACAGACTCCTATCGTGCTATTGAGACAGGCTTCTCGCTGTTTGGCTCTGCGTCTCGTCCACCACCTGATGGGTTGGGGTACTCCACAGACCCCTATCGTGCTGATTCTCCAGACGCTATGGATCCAAGGGTAGTTCAAAGACCTATGGGCTCCCGGGGACCAAAAGACCGAAATAAATCCTCTCATTTGAAAACCAAGACTTCACCATTGTCATCTGCGTTGCCTGCGCGCATGTCTTGCAGTTTCTGCCGGCACAACGGCGAGTCCGAGTTGGTGTGCACATCCCACTGGCTGAAGAACCAGGTCGGAGATGTTCTGTGTCCCTACCTGCGGCAGTACGTGTGTCCCCTGTGCGGAGCCACGGGGGCCAAAGCCCACACCAAGAGCTTCTGCCCGATGGTGGACGGAGCGTACGACTCCGTGTACAAGAAGTGCAGACGCTGAACTAACGGGTAGCAATAAGATTTAGAAGGCTGAATGTTCTTTTAGATGTGAGTGTGGTTTTGTTTTATTAGTAGCCTATGTAGCCTTCTATAATGCTGATTAGTCAGCCGAGCCTTCTCTAAAAGCGTCTGTTTGGTGTGTTGATTTTGTGAAGTATTTCAAGAAGGTCCACAAGATAGCTTGTGAGAAGAGAAAAAATACATAATGCAATGAAAAATGTATGTTTATTTTACATATTTTAAAACGTGGCCAATCATGTTCGGCTTCATATCCCCTGTTCTTGGATTGAAGGATTATAGCAACATCATGTTTCCATGTCAACATTTTAAAGAAATGAGTGACTTGTTCTGAGGTGTACAGTAAGTACCTGTTCCCTAAGTGTGTTTTATTTTTATTTTTGAATTATGTACCTGTGGCTCTTCAGCTCGTCTCACTTCGTGAAGAGGGATGTGTTAAAAACTGTTTGAATATTAATGTATGCCAGAAAATATAAATATGTAAATGAAAATCTCTGTGTGTATTCTTTGTCAACATTTAGTTATGTGTATGTCCAATAGCAGATGATACTAAAAAATACATAAAGACTAACTTAACGCTTTATTTTGGGAAGAACTAAGACTTTAAACGTAACAATCCAGCTGTCAGTGATACAAAAACAAAGTAAACGGTGATACATTTGAACATTTGTACACTCAAACACCTTCATTACTCACAAACCATGGGTCAACAATGACAATCTTGGTGGAAGGGACTTCCTCCTCAACGTGTGGAGCTTCTTGAAGTTTTACTGCTACGCCGCAGGTTCTCCAGATCTCTGTGAGTGGCCATGACCTTACGACTAGAAAGCAACCAGAGGTCAATTATTGATTAATGGCATCAATAACTTAAGTATTCTTTACACATTTGGCAATTGACAACAAGTATTGACAACATTCAGGCAGGTTGAAGATGTTAAGTACGGATGACTAACAGGAAAAGAGGGTAAAAGATGAACTACAACTTATTGCCATTTGCCCCTTGGATCATCACCCTGAATTTATTTATATTTATTTTGTTTAAAATGTGTCTTTACATTTTATTTTGGCTACCACTAAACCCATAGTGTATTAGTTTGACTTAGATTTGTACCCTCATAATAGAGTGGCGAAGTCCCTCCCACTTACTTCCGGGGTATGGGACCTTATTTCGGAAAAATTATGCATTGAAGTCAATGGGGAGAGAAAACTTATCTTTCGATCCCGTTTGAATTGTGCCATGAATTACACATATGATGTTTGTCAATCTTAAAAAATCATTTCCATGTCAAAAAAGTCACAGTTTGTCTTAAAACTGTTGAAATATAAGACTTTGAAAAATACGAAACTAGAAAGACTACAAATCCCAGAGTCGCGTAAGTGATGTCACAATTGAGACACTACGATACACGTATAATACCGTATATATACGATCAGCGCCATATAGATAGAATCTATCTATATGGCGCTGGCTAAGATAAGATAACTTTCACAAGATGCCTGTGTGCTTAGTACCAGGTTGTTATTATACCAGCAATGGGTCTTGCTCGTTCTTTCGCTTCCCGTCTGATGAAAGAGGAGTGTGTGGATCAAGTTAGCTACCTAGCTAGTAGCTAGCACGTTAGTTAGCATTACAGCCTTGTCATTTGTATTAGCCTTAACATGAAGTAACGTTAAGTAACCCAAAATGTTAAACAGTAAGAGTAGTAGTCATATTTCGTGAACCCTTTGAATAGTACTGTCACCGGTGTGATCATTCTATAATACACCATTTAAGCCCGGGGGAGAAATGCTAACGCTAACGCTAGCGATCTTCTCTACTTCATGCTATCTGCACAAATGGTTGACATTAAACATTAAAACGACCAGGCAGTTCAGAGAGAATCAAAGGAAGGCAGGCAGGCAGCTTTGCATGACATTCTTCAGGACGTGTTTCATTGTGGTGATAGTGAGGGTAGTCAATCGTTTTGTTGACAAGACAGTGGTGACGGCCATCTTGGTGACGTGTGTTGTTGACCAGAGATCAGATGTAGTTCTTTGAGCGTTTCACACAAACAAATGTGTTACTTCACAGTTTTACGACACATTTTTTTTTTTTTTACTTGCAAAATTATCTTTTAAATTGACAAACATCATATGTGTAATTCGTGGCACAATTCAAACGGGATCGAAAGATAATCTTTCTCTCTCCATTGACTTCAATGCATAACTTTTCCGAAATAAGGTCCCATGGGGCTCAACCGGAAGGGGAGGGACTTCGCCACTCTATACCATCTTCAAAGCCTGGCCTGATGGTGCCAAGCAGTCTATGGCTGAAACCTGATGACACCATCCAGCCAATAGGAGCACAGAGAAGGTTGAGAGGAAAAAAGAACCGACCAATGGTGTTAAGAGTCAAAAGTGCAACTGGGAAGAGAGCGGAGCAGGAGATGAATGCAAAGGGAGGTAAGAGCCAGTGGTGTAAAGTAACTAAGTACATTTACTCAAGTATTATACTTAAGTACAATTTTGAGGTACTTTTACTTTACTTGAGTATTTCCATTTATGCTACTTTGTACTTCTACTTGACTACAATTCAGAGGTAAATTGTTTACTTTTACTCCACTACATTTATGTCATAGGCCTACCTTTAGTTACTTTACAGATTTGGATTAATGATGTGAAATATAATCAACACTTAAATCAGACTTTAGTTCCACCTGGAGTACATTCACAAGCTACCCTGCAGTATACAAAGTCAATAAAACTAGCTGCACCTTTAGCAGCTTTAAAAACACATCAATAACTATATCAGAACATATCATATATATAGTATTCTGAAATGGACCAATTTGCATATTGAGTATTTGTTATGCTAATACTTTTTAATGTTTACTTAAGTAACATTTTGATTGCAGTACTTTCACTTGTAACAGAGTATTGCTACACTCTGGTAGTTCTACTTTTACTCAAGTACAATATCTGAGTACAATACAAAAGGGCCCCTAAAGGAGAAAGAATGATGAATATATACGGGTATACAGTATTTGATTGAACAGAAAATGAATGCTTTCCTTACTTTAGAGAGGAGAGTTCTCTGATGAGCCCACAGATCAGCTCTGTAGCATCTTCATGGTCTGGAGAACCAAGATCTTCCTCCTCCATCACATCCACCTCACTGGATGGAGAAAAGTGTACAATGTATATTACTAAAAGTGAATCTGAACCGTCAGTTAATTACAGGCTTTCTATATATCCATCTATAAGCATGTTCAAATATTAAACATTTGTTTTCATTTTACAAAAGAACAAACGTGTAGACATGACATAGGAAATTATTACAGTAATCAGATTTTGTCCAAATGTCTTATCTTCTGTCTTTGTTTATATTATTTCAGGTGTCAAAGTAGCTCCTACATCCTTTCAAAATGTTTAACTCTAACAACCTGTCAATTTGTACGTTCTTTTTTCACAATAGAAGCAAAACCCCACTGAGTTTCCCACCTCTACTGAGCTAAACCCTGAGCTTGTTCGCTCTGTTTTCTCGACCGTCCCTTTCTTCACACCACTGTCAGGTTACTTGTAGGATTTAACGTTTCCCTTCTTCCTTACCTCAGACTGATAGTGTTCAGCTGCGAGTCAGTAACGTAATCCAGGTACCCAGATCCAAACGGGTCGGTGGTGTCCCAGGTCTGAAGGGGCTCAGCGTTAGAAGTCGATCCAGCACTGTGTTCCTTATCACCATCACACTGTGTGCAACAAAAATAAATGTATCATTTCTGTAAAGCAAAAAAGAACCTTCAGTGTTTATCAATTCATTTATACTTGTGTTTTTAGTAAAAATTGGGTGTCAGAAAATTGGAAAGCCTGCTTTTGCTTAGAATATTTAAAGCTATTTTCCATTTTTCCCAAACACTTCAACACAAAGGTAATATATTTAGAATGATATATAAAAGAGAAGAAAACAATCTTCTCTTTTAAGAAGCTGGAACCGGCTAGTATTAGTTTTTTTCCCTAATAAAACAAATATAATGTAATGAATAAAATGACAACTGAATTGTGTTTAAATTCCAATTATCTGTTGTTTGATTAATTCTTTAATAGTTTCAGCAGCAACTCATTATAATTAATTGTGTTGCTATTGCATTATTCATAGAAGCTGCATAATCATGTGTGGCAATGTTAGGACAAAAACGATTTGCTTAACTCACAATGACAAATATTTTATTTACGAACTACATGTAACTTACACGTTGTACCTTTGTTCCATCACTCACACTGTCTTTCCTCTCTGAGCCACTAGGCAGCGCTGCAGCCTCGCAGAGCTTCACAGTGTTCGATCCTCCTGACTGGGGGTCTGGGGGTAAAGCACCTGCCTCAGCTCCATCCCCAGCTCCGTCCTCAGCTCCGTCCCCAGCACCTGCCTCAGCACCGTCCTCAGCTCCGTCCTCAGCTCCGTCCCCAGCTCCGTCCCCAGCACCTGCCTCAGCTCCGTCCCCAGCACCTGCCTCAGCACCGTCCTCAGCTCCGTCCTCAGCTCCGTCCCCAGCACCTGCCTCAGCTCCGCCCCCAGCACCTGCCTCAGCTCCATCCCCAGCTCCGTCCTCCGCTCCGTCCCCAGCACCGTCCTCCGCTCCGTCCCCAGCACCGTCCTCCGCTCCGTCCCCAGCACCACCAGTCAGCTCCTCCTTCTTCTCACTTGTCCTGGTGTCACTATTCACCTGCAGAACGGCAGCCTCCATTGCATCCCCGTTCTCAGTCTCCTCATTTTGAGTTGGATTAGAGTATAAAGTGATGGCAGGACTTTGGTCTCCTGCTGCTGCTGACCCATCTTCCCCGTCTTCTATGGGTTCCTGAGGTTTTTCAGCAGGAATCTCAGCAGCGCTGCCCTCAGGTTCCTGCTGATCCGGATTCTCCAAAAGCTCTTCCTTTTCCTCCTCTGTCGGCGGCGGGTCTGACTTTGTGTCAGCAGTTTGCTCTGGACCAGGCGCTATGACACCTTCAACCTCACAGCTCTCTCCCATTGGATCACATGCAGCACTGGTCCCATCTGAGGTAGTGACAGTAATGAGGACTTCTGTTTCCTCCCTGTGTGTTAAATCAAATCAATTGTATTACTGATGTGTGATCAAGTATATTTGTCTGTGTTTTATTCAGTGATTGAAACTTTTTTTATACTGAAGCAGTGTATATTCCCTAAATGTGTCCACAATAGATTACAGATGTTAATCTAAATTGAGTAGTATTAGACAGAAGTGGTACCCTTTGCTATTGTTTTCACTATTGATTAATCTGCTGATTACGTCTTTGATTTATCGTTTGGTCTATAAAATGACAGTGAAAAATATACATCTCAGTTTCGTAAATCCAAGGTAATGTCTTTCATGTTTTGTTTTGTCCATCCAAAAACCAAAGTATTTATTTTAATTTGATGTAAAACTGAGAAAAGCAAGAAATCTCAAAATGTTCGGCAAAGAAAACTTAATTTTCTGCCCTTTATGCATTGAATCCTTACTTTATTGACCGCTACTACTTCCACCAATGGTCGTTGTCATGAAAATGTGAAAGTAAAACAGAAACAAAAAATGTAAGATATTCAACATGTTGTTTGTATTCCTCACTACATTTTTCTGACCTGTCTTGCCCTCCACAGTGACTGGACTCAAGTTGTATATCTGGCTCTTCCTGTTCTGTGACACCTCCTGCTGGGATGGATGATGGGGATGATAAGGGGGAAGAAGATACCATCTCTTCCTGAGCCACAAGGTCAGCTGTGTTATTACAAATCTTTATCTTCTCGACTCTCTCCTGTCTTTTATTCCCATTTTTTTGTGTGTGCAAAAAATGACTTCGCTCCCTCTCTGTCAGACCACACATACCCATCCTTCGCTTCTTTTTGGCTGGCAACCCCGCTGCCGCCTCCTTAGTGAGTTCCTTGACATCAGCCATGTTCACATTGCTGGGTTCTTCGTGGATGGCTTCTTGTTTTTTCTCTGAATCACATTGAGAATTCTCCTTTGCACCCATTTGCTCATCCAAAGCAGATTTATCACCCTCTTCAGAGATTGCCAAGAAGACCTGGAGTTGATCGGTGCATGTTTGTGATGGTGATCTGTTACATTCCTCTGCAGTCATTTCCCCCTGGTTCTTTTGAATATTGTTGCATTCATTACCGGCATTTATTTTAAATTCCTCCGGCTGAGGAACATTGTTGTGATTGGCGACTGCTGTCTCTTCTTGATCTGCAAAAGCTTCAACCTCCACATGTGTTGCTTCTGAATGTTTTTCATATGTGTCAGGGTCTTGTTTGGTGAGAGAGGAGAGTCCTTCTGCCTCATGCTGTTGAGTTGAAATTATAGTAGATTCCTGCACAGGGGTCGGGTGGGACTGTAGCAGTTTGGTATCTACTGCTGAGGTACTTCCTTCAGTGTCCTGAAAATCAAAACAGACTTCATGTGAATACATTGGCTTGATAAGATGTACATGTAAGTTCTGTTTGAATCACCTTAATTACCTGCTGATGGCGAGAAGCCTGGACATCGTCGGTTTCTGAGATTTCCTCACTCGGACATTCCCTCTTCCTCGACCTGAGGGACCGAGGCTGCACTAGAGCTGAGTTAATTGCACACATGAGGACCAACTAAATTAAAAATAATCACTTTACCTGATTAATATTTAAACTTCGCATTTCATGGTAAAAGGAAGCAATTATAAATCAAGGAGAATTTATTGTTGAGTCTCAAAATAACGGTATTTCAAACATTTCAAATATATAAAAATTATATATATTTTAACAGAATCAAGTCACTATGTATTTTTTATTTAACCTTTAAAAAAAAAACTGTGATGTGTTATGATAAAAAAAAAAATGTGGATGACACACTTAGATTGCTTCTGTTAAACAGTAGCACATTATAATATTATCTGCTTTACCACTCCCGTTGATCTTTGCTTTTCCTTTGGCCATCTCCTTTTCCTTGAGAATAAAAATAAAGAGAACAAATAAAGACACAACATATATAAGAAATATCTTTAACCTAATATAAATAATTTCCCATTGTTACGGATTAGTTTATAGTAAGCTAACAATAGTTAATGTAGTAAAGGCAGCTAGCTAACAACTGAGTGAATAAAGACATTTGGAGATATTACTTTTGTAACGTTAGTTATAACGTTATAGTATTTGCTGCGGTTCAAAAATCAATGTATGATTATTTAAGTTAATAACTATTGGGTTACAGTGACAAAATGTCGCGTTATATACCTTTTCCCACAGTCACACAACAATAGTCTAAAGCTTGAGGTGTACGCAGAATTTCAGAGCATCTTTGGGTGTAACGTCACGGCGGGGTTTTACGTCAGTAATGGGTGTGTTTTGTCCAGCCGTAAAGCTCGATGTGCGTTTCCATGGGAGACGCAATGTAGGAAGTCAATTCCAGAGCTCACCGTTCTTGTTTTGACAGCTCAAGCCTAACGTAAAATTACACCTGCCTGCTTTTATATGCTCTCTTGTCTTTTCTCCTGTCGTTTCTGAGCAGTTTTCGATTTAAATAACCGACCCGACTGGCTGTAAACATTCACACCACGGTCCGTGAAACTGCCAAGGTAAACAGCGTGCCTGTACGTTCATTCGCTAAAAATAAATTGTATGTTGTGCTGGCTGTGAGCTAACTCGAGCAGAGAAGCTAACTTGATACAGGACAGTGGGAACAGTTTGAATTATTACACTAAGTGGCTGCTTTTAAAGTCAGTGCCCACTCTGTAGAGCTGCACTAGCAGTGGATACTGTCATTTGTTGACATGTCCATCACCTTTCTCCTCGTTTCCATTATCTGAACTAAAGTAACCCCTCTTTAACTTTTAGATAGTAACAGTCCAATGAGTCGCAGTCGAAACCCCCCTCCCCGGGGTCAAGGGGCAGCACGAGCCAAACAGGTAAAGCCAGTCATGTCTGATAGTGAGATGTGTGCATTATATCTACTGCTATGATGTCAACAACAAGTATGAGTCAGCAGCTCTGTCCCTTTCTTTATGCCTGTCTGTCTTGCTGTTTCTCAGATGGGGCTGCTCCTTGACCTGTCCCCGGACGGAGGGATGGATGATGACGGAAATGATGAAGATCTGGAGGCAGAACTGCTGAAACTGGTGGGAGGAGGTGGAGGGAGAACGCAAGGGAAGAAAGGTGATGGCAAAGGTGAGTTAGAATCTTACACTGATGTCATTTGTTAAAATGTTCCATTGTGAAGTACAGTTGTCTCTTTTCTCTGATACCTGTACTAGTACTTTTTATATGACTAAGTGCTGATTGTGATGTATTTGTGTACGTACAGCTCCTGTTCCCATGGCAGATATAGAGCGAATGGCAGCTCTGTGTATGAAAGACCTGGAAGATGATGACATGGATGGTGAAGATTTGGATGATGATGAAGACCTGCTGGTAACAAAGCTACATTGTTTTTGTCCCGTTCAACAATTTGTGAATTAATTTAAATAATTTTCTTTTTAATAGATAAACAAGGACCGTCAATCAAAAATGAAAATCATTGGCTACTCCCAGTTTCTCCTATGTGCTAAATGTGCTGCTTTTCTTTGTCATGTGCTGTATGATAATACAAATAAAATGTAATGCGCATGGTAGTTCACAGACTAAATGATGACTAAATACTGAAACAATTATCTGATTATAAAAATGAACTGTTACTTGCATTCCTAATCCTTTTCACTTCACTTCACGTTACCTATAATATACTGGTGAAGCTTGGATGTTGATTTGCTTTAAATATCTGGATTTTTAAACCGTATGCACTCCTGTGTTTCCGTACATAGGCAGAACTGAATGAGGTTTTAGAGGATGATGAGGATCACACTCCTGCTCCGACCCCTCCTGCCGTCACACCGACCGCTCCCAAAGCAGGCGTCACATCCCGCCCTTCTCCTCCTGCTGCTCCCAGCGGTGCAACTGGGTTGGAGTCTCATCTATTGGAGCGCATTGATATGTATAAGACAGCCATTTCGAATGGAAAGGCTGCAGGGGAGACAAGCAAAGTTCGAAGATATGACCGAGGTTTGAAGGTGAAAAAATAATATCAATCTAAAACAGAATTTTGAAGCAAATATATTCATTTTAATGTGAAAAAACATGTTTATGCCTTTTTTTCTTTTTCAACCCTAGACATTGCAGTCCATGTTGACATCTTTCAAGAAAGGAAAGCCTGTCAATGAGGAGGAGATCCCGCCTCCAGTTGCTCTCGGCGGAAAGACCAACATCCCAGCAGAGTCTGAATCCATCAAAGAACGAGAGCTGCCGGAGCTCGCCCTGATACCCTCTCCTCCCACCAATCAGAACCCTCTGAGGGAGGCGCCTCCTGCAGCTCCTAATGCGAAACCTCTGCATCTGACTGTGCCACAAAAGCCTAATGCTGCCATCACCCCGGGAACACCTGCCATCTCTCCCCTCACCCCCTGCCAGCCCAACGCACAGCACTCAGGTAAACACACATGACCACATTCAGAGTCACCTGTGGACGCCTCTCCTCTTCACAACTCACTGGTACTGTGAACTGAATTTATAAGAGCAATATGTGGCGATATAATAATAATCATAATAAACTTTATTGGTAAAGCACTTTTAAAAACACAATTACAAAGTGCTTTACACAACGAGATCAAATTATGTACACGGTCAAGATTTTAAGAACGAAAACATAAAAAATAGTAAATAAATACAATTAAAAGGTGTATCGTGAAAACAAGCAAAAGGGTGAAAAGAAGGATAAACCTAAATAAACATTCTATTTACTGTTGGAAAAAAAGACCTTTTCTGTGAGGCCTTTTTTGCTAACCTGTGTTGTTCCACTAAAAAAATATTACATTTATTGAATCACTCTTAAACCGGAAGTTTGTTAATCAACATAAAATGATTGAATGATTATTGGTTAAAATGATTTGTGATCAATGGGTTTGCTTACATTTCCTCATTAACTGTTGACTGATATTTCTTTAGCTTTGCTTACTATCAATTAGGATTTATTTACTATATATTTATCAAAAAGATCATTGTCCATAACAACGACTACTTTCATAATCCCATATTCCTAATTTCTTGCTGCTGCAGTTGCTCCCCTCTAAATGTCCCTGTAATCCTCCTGAGCTTTTAAACTAACCTTTTTTTTGTATTATTTGTTGTCATCTCTCTTATTCTGTCACACACACACACACACACATGTATGCTTTGCCTCAATTCAGAGCTGAAACAGGCAGTGCTGTCACGACAGAGGGAGTATAAGATTGCTGCCATACACGCCAAACAGGGCGGAGACATAGACCTGGCCAAACAGCACTACCATATTGCCAGGGTAACACAACCAATGTCAACGTTATAGCATGAGTACATCTATTTGATTGTGTGTAGAAAAAGTCTAATAAAGTTGATCTCTCTTTTTGCAGAAGATGGACGTGCTGGTGGAGGCTCTGGACCGAGGTGAACCAGTTGACCTGAGCTCTCTACCGCCCCCCCCTGGTCAGTGTTACCACTCTCATGGAGTCCTTTATGACTGCACTGTTCACTATCTTCTCTAGGTTTGGTTTATCTCGCTCAAACTGGTTTAGTGCCTATTTGCCTTTAATGTTCAGACCTCACTGCATGACCTCAAAAATATGTTCTCTTGTCTTTTTTTCTTTATTTAAGTCCATAAGTGATTGTATACAATACTTTTAACAACTAGTTTTTGTCCATTAAACCAGTTTGATTTCTCCTGCATCTTTCTGACAGCCATACATAATGGTACAGAAACTGAGATTGCTCAATCTTATACATTGATACTGTATACATATTTGGACATTGACACATTTTTCATCATTTTGGATCTGTACACCACCACAATGGACTTGCAATTATACAATCAATATGTGCTTTAAGTGCAGACTTTCAGCTTTAATTCGAGGGTATTTTCCATGAATGGTGTAGGAATTACAACCATAGATTACATCACATACGTGGTATCCCCTTTTTAAGGGTTAGGGTTAAAGGGATCAAAATTGTGTCAAAGTCCAAACCCGACTGTATATATATATAAATACAAATGTAAGATTCCATCTCAAAACAACTTGATGCAGTTTACAGTTTTGTTCTCAATAACAACAACTGATTCCTACATACTATTAATTTAGTTAAAGGTGGGGTAGGTAATTTTGGAGAAACCAGCTCGAGTGTGCTAGAATTTGAAAATACACAGCCGGAACAAATCTGCCACTTCCTTACAGAGCCCCTCCTCCAACACACACGAACGCGCACATGACCAATGAGGGCACGAGATAAGTTTGTGCACAGATGGAAGGCTGACAGGCAGGTAGGCCATCCAGTTATTTTAGCCGGGCCGGCTAAAATGATTGGTCGTACTTTTTACAGTACTACGGCTTCCACAGATGACATTTTTTATGGATTTTTTGTCAAAGCACTTAAGATATTCATTGCTATCGGGATGTTAAGAGCATTCCATGGAATATAACAAAAAGTGTATCTCGAGCCGGTTTCTCAAACGTACCTCTACCCTACCTTTAATGAATAGCACTGACTAACTATTGATACACCCTTTGGTAAACACAGAACTGTGAAGACTGCTTTCCAGAACTTTGCACCGTTTTCAATTATTTTTAATATTGGACCTTTTTTTGCCTGTTATTGTTTTATTTTCCATATTCTACCCCCCTGTTGACGGGAATAGTTTTGATAATAATAATAATAACCTATCTCCATCCCTCCACTCACCTGTAGAAGACGTAGTGGCAGCCCAAAGTGCACCTCCTCCTCCTCAATCTTCCTCTAAACCCGCTGCCCCCGCTGCCCCCGCTGCACCTGCTCCACCTGCTCCCACCCAGGTGGCCACTGCCGGTAAGACTCCAATAGCCCTAATCCTTCAGATGATAAAAAAGATCTCTGTTGAATTAAAATAATAAAGTGTGTGTGTGTGTGTGTCCTGCAAAGATCTCCCTGCTCCCAGAAGTCTGGGGGAAGCCCTGCAGCAGAGGATGGACATTTACAAGTCAGCAGCAGAGGGAGCCAAGAGCAAAGGAGACGATCGCAAGGCTCGCATGCACCAGCGCATCGTCAAGGTACACACAAGTCCTTTCATATATTGTTGTTGTTTTATTCCTCTTAAAAATATTTTATATTTACAGCTTCATCTAAATCCAATACAGCATTATATATACTACTCAAAGATACAGCTAATTATGAGGCACGTTGAATTCCTGGCTCTGTGCTGTAATTTGGACGTGTTTTTCCTCCTTTCCCTGAACAGCTGGTGTGTGACTCACTTTATTTGACTGGAAATACACTCGTCGCTTTGCCCGTAATGACTGCTGTTGCTTATTTCAGCTACCAGAATAACCTGCCATATAGGCTGTCTTGTTCTCTGATGATTGACTGATAAATTGTGACTTTTAATTAAATTGGACTAGGCTGAGGCAAGGTTCATTGATGAAACAAGAACATGAAAGAAAGAACAAAAATGTGTTGTTTAGCAAGTGTAATGCTTTTGTAGGAGCAGAAGCACATTTGTGAGTTATGCTTTTGCAGAGCTGCAGGTGCTGATCTCTCTCTCTCGCATCCGGTTATACTTCACTCGCGTTTATGTCCAAATCCATCAGATCTAGCTAGTTCTAGCTAATGATATAGCGGCTGCCCCTCCCTACACGCTGATCACGCAGACTCAAACCTCATCTTATGCCCAAATTCCAGCTGAGAGGGTCTTCTCTACAGCTGGCCTGATTGTGAATCGCCTCCGCACCCGCCTCTCCCCCGAGTAGACATGCTCATATTCTTAAACAAGAATGAGTATTGAATAGCTGCATTCTGTGCATAGGCCCTGTTATAGGTTGTTGATCTCTGTTGTGATAGGGTTACGTTACCCTAACCCGTTATGTTGTTCGTGTATGATCCCTCTTTCATTTAAAAACCAAGTTATGTTTTAAGCATGAAAGCTGTAGGCCTAAAGCTGTCAACTGTTCAAACTGTGATCACCAGTTCAATACATTTGACAAATTCTACTTGGTTTCTATACTTATTTGAACATGTATTTATTTGTTTACTAACTCATTTATTTGTATTTTCTTTGTCAACATTTCTCCCACATTTTTTTTTTTTTTATAGGATATGTACATTTTGGTTAATCGGTTAACTGTTTTTTTGGGGGTTGAATATTCGAATATACATTTGCTTTCAAATTCCCATCCCCAGTTCAGACTGACATGTAAAGACAACACCTTGGACTTGGAGAGATGGAAATGTTACACTCTTTTCTGACATTTATTAACCAAACAATCAATCTATGAAATCGGTAGCTTCATTGATAATGTGAACAATCTGTTAATTAGCAGCCCTAAAAAATAATCATGCCTCATAAAGTATAAAGTACAAAAGAAGTACCATACATGGATATCACCTTTACAGTTAATGCTCTTATTGCATCAGCAGTAGTTGTTAGTTATTGCTAGGTATTGCTAATTTCTTTTCTAGTTAAAAGTGTTAATGTTAATACTTATTTTTAAATCCAAAAGAAAACATTGCAGGTCTTCAAAAAGGAGGAACATGGATAATAACAAACAAGGAATGCATCGACAACCCTTTTCCCATTTACTATACTAATACATGTTAAGAAGTGATCCGACGATTAATTATTAAAAAATTATCTATCCTCTCTTCTTTTCTGAACAGCAATACCAGGATGCCATCAAAGCTCACAAAGCTGGACGTCCTGTCAGCTTGTCTGATCTTCCTGTGCCACCAGGTAACTTTCTCCAGGTGTGTTTCAGCATGTGGCTCTATGTACTTTACAGTTACAGTAAGTCATGTGTGTGTTGCTGTTCTAGGCTGTCCGCCACTTCAGGGCTCAGAGGGGAGTCAGCAGAACTTCATGGGTGTCCTGGAAACGGCTATGAGGATAGCTAATCAGGACACAGACGCTGAAGATGAAGAAGAGGATGGAAGAGAGGCTGCCAAGGTAAAAATAATAAAATAAAATAAATAAATGCTCAACCAAATGGTCAAGTTGTTATTGTGCAGCCAACAAACCTGGTTGGTTGCCTTTTAACCAAAGCTAGTAATGTTTTATTGTTTGCCATGCCAGCTTCTGTGCCAGGATATTGAACTGTTATCCGTTTCCTTGCTGCACCTCCTGCCTCATATATCAAATGAATACTTGTCACAGTAAAGTGTAAAATATTGTTTATTGTTGTATTGTTTAATATTGTTGTTATTTTATTGAATTTAATTTATTTTAAAATAATATACCACTCATTAGTTTAAGATTGATTTGGTCTTTTTTAATAGTATTGTTAAAGGTGGGGTAGGTAAGTTTGAGAAACCGGCTCGAGATCGCTAGAATTTGAAAATACACAGCCGGAACAAATCTGCCACTTCCTTACAGAGCCCCTCCTCCAACACACATGAACGTGCACATGACCAATGAGGGCACGAGATAAGTTTGTGCACAGATGAAAGGCTGACAGGCAGGTAGGCCATCCAGTTATATTAGCCGGGCCGGCTAAAATGATTGGTCGTGCTTTTTACAGTACCACGGCTTCCACAGATGACATTTTTTAATGGATTTTTTGTCAAAGCACTTAAGATATTCATTGCTATCGGGATGTTAAGAGCATTCCATGGAATATAACAAAAAGTGCATCTCGAGCCGGTTTCTCAAACTTACCTACCCCACCTTTAATGTATGCCTGTATACAGTAGATGTATATACTTTATAAACTATTATTCTTATTTATTTTATTAGATGTTTAATTTGTATTGTTATCTTGTTTTCTTTCTTCATGTACATTTTTTTCTTTCGATTTAAGGCAAATATACTGCCTGTAAATAAATGTTAAGAGTTTGTACTTTTAGAAGAGTACATGTATGGACTAACCAATTCAATAGTAAAAAATTAAGAAATAATTTATATATGTAGGTTAATAAACAGTAACGCGCCAAATTTAGTGAAGACTTATCTGTTGAAATTGATGAAACAAAGGATCATTTTCAGCACTTTAAGAAAAGAATGCTGTACTTTAACATCTGTACGTTTGATTGCATTTCTCTGAGGACCATCGTGTTTTCTTTCCCGCAGCCTCCACCTGTACAGAAAGCAAAGTCTCCAGCCCCTCAGACCCCTGGAGGAGGCTCCTCGGCTCTAAAACTGGGAACTAAAGGTGAGAGTGTGTGTGAGTGTGTATGAGTGTGTGTGTGAGTGTGATACCCGGATGCCTGCCTGCACGTGCAAAATGTGCCACACAAAGTGTTTGAGTGTTACACGAGGCAGAGTTTCACTTTTTTTCTCTTAATCATCCCTGCAGCCCAGCAGCAAGTGGATTTCCTGTTGCTACGGCGACAGGCTTTTATGCGTGCAGCTCTGCGCTCCAAACAGATGAAGGTAACTTTTTTTCCCCCTTCCTTTTCTTTTCTTTGCTTCAGATAGATTCCCAGCCCTGTTTCTATTTTATGTAGATGTCTTTATCACAGCAGCATGTTGTTGTTTTTTTTGGAGCTGTGAACATCTGTTGTGTTGCTGCGGTTTGATTGACACATTGCTGTCATGTGACTGTTTGTAGGACATGACGGGAGCAGCGCAGCACCTCCGACATGCCAAGGGACTGGACCCCATGATCACTGCTGCCAAATCAGGCCTGCCCGTCGATATCACCAAGGTCATACATATATTCTCTCGTGCAAATGAATCCTATATGAGAGGAAACAGAGCAAAGTGTCAAACGTGTCGTCAGGGGAGAAAAAGTGTGAGGAGTGTGAACACAAAAGAGCCAGAAATAGAAGACAGGAGGAAGGAAGCACGGGGTGAAATCAAAACACCTTTGTTCTGCACCTGTGCGACTTTATCTGCATATTTGCAGTGACATTCCAGTATTCATATTGCGTATACTTCTCCCGTATGACTTTCTTTCATTTTGACTTTTATTGGAAACCTGTGCCATATTTTTCTCTCGGTGTAATATCATCAAGAATATTAAGCTTGTGCCTCTGTTAGTTTGTCTTCCTCTCTGTCTGCAGAATATCGCACACGCTTAGATCTTACTTGGACAGATTTGTTTTATATCGCGCCACATTAACAGTTGTCCCTCTCTTTCTGACAGATTCCCAGTGCTCCAGTCAGCGAGGATGACTACTCTCTGGCTCGCTCCCGCACCTCCCCTCTCTCCCCCCGCTCCAGTGAGCAGTACCAGGGCCTCATGGAACTTTTAAAGAAGCAGCATGAGGTCAGGGCATGTCTCTCCTTTCTACTTTTATAAACATTTTACGCAAAAATGCACCTAAATCTTGCTTCCAGCTTTTACTGAAGATTTTTGCATCACTTTTCTAGTTGTGCAGCTTTTAAAATCACCATTGTTCTTTATTATAATGTCGTATTGTTTGCTCTTGTTTTCACACCCCCACCTTCTTTTGTGCCTTTATCTGGATCTACAGAAATGTCTGGGATACTCTCAGCAGCTCATACTGCTGGGCAATGTGGCCGAAGCTCTGAAGTAAGGCTCATTCCTTAGTTGTATATTTGTATAAGAATGTTTTAATACACATTATCCGCAGCCATGATGCAATTTAAAACCTATTATTTTCTGGAGTTTAAGTAATGCTTGTGTCCATTCACATTGTTATTAATGGTTCACATTGTAATTAAATATTTTAGTAACATGCCACATATAATAATCATTCATCCCGCCTTCCTACCCCATAAACCCCTTGACACACACACACGACCGGCCCACGCTCCCCTCCGTCCCAACAGGTCCAATAACCAACCTCTTCATAAAATGTACTTTTTTACACCGGGAGGGTTACACAGAGGGAACAGACCATAGCCCCTGCATGTCCACCCAGCTGTGACAATATAAACGCTGAGAGCTACAATGTGAACTTCTCCCCAACCCCAAATCTTCTTAAAATCTCAAGGTTTCCCTGTCAGATTACACATGGTTTTTTCATTTGGTATACCAGATGATCATTTATTGGTCCATCTAGCAATACCTGCATCTGGCTGTAATGCAATTCGTTTTTTCAACGTAGCTTCCAGACGCACTACATTTGATCACTAAGTATCTTTTTAAAATGATACATCAAATTAAGAATGACTTAATAGTTTACTACATATGTCCCAAACTGGTCCATTTGCTTATCCTGAATAAAAATCAAGAGGCCCAAATACTTCATATTTTATTACAATAAAAGCATAAAAACAAGTAACTTCTCACATTTGAGAAGCAAATATTTAATCTTTACATGAAAAATGATTTATGAGATTATTATATATTTCAGTTCTCTTCTACTGATGGACTTATTCACTAAGCACTTCATCACAGTCGTGGTGTGTGCTGTCACTGTAGCAACACAGACGGTGTTTAACTTTCATGTCACGCTGCATATTTTTCAGGTTTTCCTTGCAGATATTTTTCACAGATTTTCCCATACATTTAACCACCAAACAAATGATCATTGCTTCTCTTACTTCAGATATGCAAAGGAACAGAAAATGTCTCCTAAACTGCAGGAACACACGTGTTCGTTTTTGCAAATAGTTTGTTTGTTTCAATATGTGTCTGTGACCTGACCTGTGACATTCAAGCATGTCTTTGTCTCTCGGCAGGTTTGAGAAGCTGGTTGAGGAGTGTATGAAGAACATTGAGATATTGAAGAACGCCCACGCCAAGGGCCAGCCAGTCCCCAAGTGCCGCACAGAGGAGAGGACCTTGAACACTGTCAAGTGAGTCAGCAACAATCTCAAAGATAATGAATTATAATTGATAATCACATTCTAAACATAAGTGTTTTTCTTTGAATGGCATGTGCTGAACAAGAACAGAAAGAGTTTAAATCAACTTTTGTGAAGTAATGGCTCAAGAGATAGCAAGGCCAGTCAGCCAGTCCACCATTTTGGTCCAGATGGAAATATCTGATCAACTATCGGATAGATTTTCATCAAGCTGAGTCATGACCACTTTGGTGATCCCCTGACTTGTCTTGTAAGTCCAAATTGAGGTTGATATTTTTGGATTTGAGGGAAATTTCTTAGCGATTATTAGAGGTGGGTGAAGTACTCAGATCTTGTACTTAAGGGAAAGTAGAAGTAACAGAGTGTAAGAATACTCTGTTACAGTAAAAGTCCTGCAATCAACATGTTAATCAAGTAAAAGTATTAGAATCAAAATATACTTAAAGTACAAAAGTAAAAGTAGTCATTGTGCAGAATGGTCCATTTCAAAATAATATTTATGATATTTTCTATTATAATGATTGATCATGAAAGTGTTCTCAAAGCTGGTAAAGGTGCAGCTAGTTTGAATGACTTTGTATACTGCAGGGTAGCTTGTGAATTTACTCCAGGTGGAACTAAAGTCTGATTTAACACTTGATTATATTTCACATCATTCATCCACATCTGCAAGTATCTCAAAGTTGTACATTAGTACAGTACTTGAGTAAATGTACTTAGTTACTTCACATCTCTGGCTATTATTGCCCTCCGATTGAGTACACACATTCATGTCAACCACAGAATTATTTGCAATCACTTTGTTAATAAGGTGATTTTTCCTTTTAGCAAGATCATCAAATCAAAACTGTAGTTTGTACATTACTTAACCAAAAATCACTTTTCTGTTTTGACTCTGGTGTTACTCTTGTAAAAACGTTTTAAAACACTTTTTGAACTGCATGTCATGTTTGTGTGATTAAACGCAGAAACCATAATTTCTTTAACTTGCTTGTAATGATCAGGCTGCTTTGCATCCGAGCAAAAATAAAACAGTCAGTAGATCAGTGGGTCATCTTTATTCCTATTTATTACATTGTAAATATATATATTTTTAGTAGAAGCTTTAAAACTGAACTAATGTTTAATTTGGAACTCTCTTCTTTTCTTTTTCTCTGACTGGAGAGGTAAATGAGTCAAATGAAATGACTGTGACTCACTCTGGCTCTGCTCCAGTATCACACGGCGCTAACAGCTAGCAGCCTCTGGCAGTGACTCATTCAACAGTCAGGATTCTTTGGCGTTCAGTGCTGCTGACTGCCTGTTTTCTGTCACTCGTGGTGCTGTTACTGAATGATCATCACTCTTGTTTCTGTTATTTAGGATCCACTCCAACCTGACACTCAATGACCTGATACTGTACATCAACAAAGGCATCAACCTCCCCGCTCCCTCAGGTACTGCAGGCAGACCCACCTCTAAATGAACCCGGCAGTAATGTATCAAATGTATGATCCCTTACTCCTCCTCTCTGCCTTCAGGTGTCTCAGCCAGCGATCTGGATGCCAGTGTGAAGTTTGAGTTTCCTTTTCCAAGTGCCGTAAGAATCTTTCCCACTCACTGATTGAAGTATGGGCAGTTCCCTCTGTATCCAGATGTGTTTCATGTATTCATTTGTTTGATATGTGTGTAGGAGGAGGCTCAGAGGGACAAAACGGGCACAGTAAAAAGCACCAGCAGCCCGGAGTTTAAAGAGACTTTCAAACTCAACATCAACCGCACTCACCGAGGCTTCAAACGAGTCGTCCAGTCCAAAGGAATCAAGTTTGAAATCGTCCACAAGGGGTAAATAAAAACCACTCATCACAAGCATCACTATTTGCCATAATAATGTATGCTGTAAATGTCATGTTGTTCTTTGGTCAGTTGTGTTTTTACCCTGTCTTCACAGGGGCCTGTTTAAGACGGACAAAGTTATAGGCACTGCTCATCTGAAGTTAGAGACTCTAGAAAACCACTGTGACCTTAGAGAGATTATAGAGGTAAGTGCTGATTTCCAGCTAACACAAATGCACATGTACTCCCCAGATGTATCTCAACAGTGCGTTTATGTGTTGTTGTAGGTGATGGATGGACGTAAAGCTACAGGTGGCAAGTTGGAGGTGAGGGTGAAGATCAGGGAGCCTTTATCAGGAGTGGATCTGCAGCCGGTGACGGAGAAGTGGCTGGTTCTCGATCCTGTGTCCTCCCTTTCTCCTCCAGAGAGACAAAAGGAGCGGGTGAGTTTGAGTTTCCCACTGAGCTGCATGAGTGTGCACTGTGAAACTGAAGCAGGGCATTTCGCTGTCTTTGTGTCTGAGCGGGATTCCTCCCGGAGTTAAACATGTTGGATAATCATATGTGTGAGATTTTTTTAATGATTCAAAATCAGCGTCCGGCCATATTGTTATATTTTGTAACCAGGAAACAGAAGAGGCTTAAGAAATATGCAGGATTTTACTTCTCTCTTAATATTTTTACAAATCTTTACACAACTACGACCGGGCTGCAGAGGTGTATGCCCTGTATCCATTACATCTGTTTAATTGGTCATCTTAATGTAACAATGTTTAACTGTATGGAGAAGTAAAGGAGACTGTCACCTTAAATCAATACCCGAAACAAAGTCATTTATCCTATCCTGTTTTCTACATAGTTTTCTTTCTTTTGGCATTTCCCTTGGGCTATCCTAAATCTAGGGTTTTGTTTCTTGTTCTTTTCGCAATGTTTAACAGCAAACGACTGAAGAATTGGGGCTACCAGCTGTTTATCTCAATGTCACATCTCGTAATATTAGCATAGTAGAAGTAAACACTTCTTATTATCTAGAAATTCAGTTCAAATGTGTGCTTCATTGGATTAAAAAAACAAACTTATGCAGCAGCCTTCAAAGTGCGGCAGCTTTAAACCTCGGGATATGAGCTGCTGCCCTTTGATTTATTTTCTGTAAACATGTAGCAAGGCCTATACATGCAGGAATAACTCAAGCTAACACCATTGGCACAGAAATAAATTGATAGTGAAGCCTCAGTGTTTTTGTGTGTGTTTGTTTGAATCAGGCTCCATCTCCTCGCTCTAAACCCAGACATGAAGCGAGCAGCAGGAGCAGTCAGCCCAACAACTCTCCGCCGCAGTACAAACTCCACAGCTTCAGCATCCTCAGCTACGACAGGGAGCGGCTGGAGAGAAAGGTGTGTGTGTGTGTGTGTGTGTGTGTGTGTGTGTGTGTGTGTGTGTGTGTGTGTGTGTGTGTGTGTGTGTGTGTGTGTGTGTGTGTGTGTGTGTGTGTGTGTGTGTGTGTGTGTGTGTGTGTGTGTGTGTGTGTGTGTGGTGTGTGTGTGTGTGTGTGTGTGTGTGTGTGTGTGTGTGTGTGTGTGTGTGGTGTGTGTGTGTGTGTGTGTGTGTGTGTGTGTGTGTGGTGTGTGTGTGTGTGTGTGTGTGTGTGTGTGTGTGTGTGTGTGTGGTGTGTGTGTGTAGTGTGTGTGTGTGTGTGTGTGTGTGTGTGTGTGTGTGTGTGTGTGTGTGTGTGTGTGTGTGTGTGTGTGTGTGTAGTGTGTGTGTGTGGTGTGTGTGTGTGTGGTGTGTTGGTGGCCCCCAAGTTGCAAAAGCCATGCTCATCATTACGCTTGTCCCTCAGGTTGGAGAGTACCGGAAGGCGCAACGGGATCCCCCAGCCGACCTCGTCCATCAACACAAGGAGCTCACACACAGACTGCAGTGGCAGAAAGCCCAGCTGGAGCGAGGCTCTTCTTCTCTACTCACAGGTAACACACACACCCACACATTTACTAACATCTTTAAGTATATGTCTTAACTTCTCAAACACCCACATTACCCTTCACCATGTGCAGACTATGAAAATGTGCTGCGACGCTCAGTCCAAGGATATGCTGAGTCTGTGAAGAAATACTCCAGCCAAGGCAACAGGGTGAGTACACCTGTGTGTGTGTGTGTGTGTGTGTGTTTGTTTTTTTAGGTGTGTGTACATGGTGGATCTGTTTGTGTGATTTAATTGTTCATTCTCTTATATAGGACGCTGCCAAGGACGCACTTGGCCGGCTGAAGATGGTCGAGAATGAGGTAAGAGTTGCTCTAAACTAGAGGTGTGGATTGGATTTACATGAACTAGGAGTCTGTAATTTCATGATTTTAGACTTGATTTGACAAAACCAAAAGAAACTTGCAACTCGGATTTAGACTTCAAAATACCTCCAAACCCAAAGATTATTTAGAGTGCTTTTTAGTATGCCTCGAAGCATTTCATTTCCTTTCTGTTACTGAATCGACCAACCTTGATGCCATTCACTCCCAGCAAGTCGATACTTAATTTCCCAGATCCACATTTGAACCAATCAGATAGCTTCAAGTCATGATGCAGAAGGGAACTGTTGAGTTACCTTACAAGCGGAACAAAATGATACCTACGATAACTTTGTTCCTGTACCAAAACGATGTGGTTGTACTCAACGAATTGCAGTATTCAAAACCAGCGGATCAAAATTGGTGAAAAGCACATGATGACTTGTTTTGGACTCTACGTTTAGTACTTGGGACTTACCTCAAGACTTGGGTGCAAAGGCCTGAGATTAACATGTGAATTGCAAAACAATGACTTCCTCTAGATACTGTCTATATAAAGAAGTGTTTTATCATCATGAATGTGCATGATGTACACTGTAATTCCCTCCTTTCTCTCTGCTCCAGCTGGAATCCCTGAAAAGGAAACGCACAGGATGAGAGGAGAGTGAGGGAGTGGAGGCTGGAGTACTGTTATTTCATCCCTCTCATTCACACTCGTATACAAACACTACAGCGAGTACTACAGCACCTTTAGCATGATTCTATGCTGCTCATGTCCTTGACAACCGCATGAACCAACCGGAAAAATTAATCATATAACTTGTGTCACTTGTGGTTAGACGCCTGCAACGGAAATTAAAAACTAATCTGTACCTACAAAGGGACACAGAAATTACAGCAAGCATTAAAACGTGTTAACAGTTAAGGGAAAGGAGGATTATTTGCACTTAAATACTAAAGAAAGCTCCTTGTAAAGCACGGCTTTACAGACATTACCTGTGCCCTGTTAATTGTTTCTTTTTTAAATCTCATTTTTCTGTAAATTGTCAATGAAGAGATCTGTCATAGGATTTTTAGATTTGGCAGCAGCCCCAGAGAGTATGTTGGTGTCCGCAGAAGACCAAAAAATATGTGTGTATGTGTGTGTGCTCTAACGTGTGTTTAACCAACAAACTGAGGTGTTCTTAACCCCTTTTCCCATATTTTATGTGTGTAATGAGCTTAATCTAATCTGTCTGCTCCAGTGTTCCCAGATTACAGTAATCTGCTCCGTTTGGAGTGGTGTGATATGGGAATAAAAAAAACGGGGCTTCGGGGCGCCGCAGCCTACATCCCATAATGAGGGATTAGTGTTTGTGTCACCAAGGAGACGAATAGATCAGACGTAGAGTCGCCTTTAGGGCTGGGGAGAGGGGGGTGTTAGCAACGCACCATGAATGTAGTGAAAGCTGCAAAAGCTTCTTCTTCTGCTTTTTTATCAGCCGTTTCTTCTTCACTGTCTTCACACAAATTCCTTGGCATTTATTCAAAGATTATTTAGAGTCGCAAGTAATAGCCCGCTCCATTTGGATTTTATTCAAACTGTTAAACAATATTAAGCCCATTATGCCACCTATTAGAAAATAATTAACAGCTGCTGCGTCAGTGTGTTGCTATTTTCCACCATTTTCTTTTTTGGCATATGCAGTTTGCTAAACAAGATTTGTCCCACTGAGCTCTAAAGTGGCAGCACAGTGGATGGTGAATAGTCTGCATACAGGAATACAATCCAATAAGTGTCGGTGAGGCTGGGTTATTGCTCATTTCTATTTCTGTTGCCCCAAAGACATCCCTGTCATAGGCATCCTTGTCATTCCTTTCCACTTTACCCTAATTGGTACCGTGAAGTCAAGATTCAGACGAACCCTGTAAAACTTAATGAGATGTGTGATAATTGCAGACACCTGGAAATTAATAATTTTGCCACAACAACACCAGATGTCAAAATATCTCTGCCATGAAAAAGACAGATGTTTCCTCCGTGTGTTTGACAACTTGCTAACTGTTGATCCACGCTGAGCGCATGCAGCCAGGATGTAGCGGACTATTTAAATGAGCCTTACTGTATGTTTTTATTTGACTCTTCATAGTGGATATCTGTAAACTCCACTAATAGTTTTTCGGTCAAGTGACACCGCAGGAATCATGTGTTTACTGTAATCCACCCACTGCCTCACCCCATTAGCAAATAATCCTGGTCAAAGTTGACCTGATAGGCCTCCATAGTCTCTGTTGATTTTTATGTAAAACCCCATCCCCCACGTTTTATTTTAATCTATCAGGAGAGGATATCTTCTGAAGCTTTGTAAATGCTTCGTTATGCTTTTGATCAGAGTTTATTAGACGGACGGGGCAGTGGGAGGACAGTTGACTGCCTAAAGTCACATGATGGCATTTAGTTTAATATGGACGTGGCTCTTAAAGCACGATAGCAGTGTGGCTGCAACTTTTATCAAAATACTTTATGCAGCACAGTTTCAGAGTTGATATATTTTTCCAAGAGTCAGGCATGTGTTTCCATTTATTTCAGTGCAGTACGAAAATCAGTTAGCGTTAATGGAAATGAATGGCTTTCTGAAACTGAATAATTAAATTGCCAAACAAGTGAGAGTGCCTCTTACAATGTTCTAAAACCCAAGGCTTCAAATGTCTTGTTATGTCAGAATGAAACGAAAGACAGATATTACATTTACTTTCACATAAGACAAAAAAACTATATATATTATCAGCATATAGAGTTTTTTGACTTGAAGTATGACTTAAACGATAACAAATATTGGAATAATTAACCATCAAACTGTTTTAGACAGCAAAAGTATTTAACACTTCTTAAACACAGCAACATGTTTTTTTCTCTTATAATGAGCTGTGATGTAATTATCTGTGGCTTGTAGTAAATGGGCTAACAACCAGCAATTTGGTCCTGCAACAGAATTTTCTTTGGCAATTAACATAGTCAAGTAAAGCTAAATGTGACCCGTATCTCTGATATAAACCCCAGTTTGTAACTATTTGCATGTTTTAACGCCTTAACAGAAACTGCAGCTGAGCAGCAGCCCTTTCTTTCACTCTAAAACCTTTAACCCCATGTCACCTCAAACACACACACACACACCTGCCACATCAACCCACCCCACTCCAGTAACCTCATGGCCTCTGAGGCTGGGTCTGTTGTCAGGGCAACATGCACATCAGCATTCAGTGTGGTAGTTGGATGTTCAGGACCCTTGCAGAGGGACATTATTGTTAAAGTTTGTCCTGCTGGTGACTCACACTCATACCCCACACACTCCTTATTTGTTGTGTTGGTTTGTTTGCTTTCTTCTCTGTTTGATCCTACTCTGTGATGCGGATGCACTCCCGTTAAGAAAAGAAGAAAGTTTGGTGTCATTTTCTGTTAATATTTCTGTCCTGATTTGCTGCAGTAAATGTAATTATCTGAGCTTGGGAAAAATATATTCTTGAACTTATTACCTTTTTTTTTATCTGTTAAATCATGTAAGGGCAATCAATATAAATGTAATATTTGTATACAGTAAATATACAGCATATTATGCTCTGTCTCTATTTTTACTTGTAAGTCTAGATAGAAGATGTGTGCAGATTAAACGGGGGAATGTATGAAAGCCTGATTATTAAGGTTTTATTATCTTCTGAATGAGGTTGGTGTTAACATGAATAAAATGGTTATACAGCACTGGGTGTGTGTTTTACTCATAGACTGTATATATCAAGGTTTTACTTGACTAAAAAATTCTGATCAGGTTTTTCCTGTTTAGCCTGATATCTGATTAACAATTTACCTTAAACCCTGTTCCCGTTTTAACAGCTTCGGTTTGTTCCTCTTGTTACTTACTGACCTATTTTCATTGTAATAGAATGTCTTATAAACATGATTTAGACTGATGATGACATGTTTTAGAAGTCGGCAACAGAAAATTAAGATAGCTTGTGTTGAGTATCTTTGGGTATACAATAGGTTTCATGTGAATGTCTAATTAGTGTCTGCAGGACATTTATACAGTATACTCGACCCAAATACCAAAAAAGTACACTTCAATTGGAAGCTGCAGCGTCGGCTAATTGATCGGTCAATCGGTTGAAAATAATCACCACTATTTTGACAATCAATTAATAAAAACAAATAAATGTTTGGTACAAAAAAAGCATAAAATGCAGTTTCAGCCTCTGTTGTGTGTTTCACAGTTTTATATCATATTGAACTAAAACATGTTGATGGTGTTTGAGTAACAGGGCTGGAAATGCTTCAAACAGTTAATCATTGAATCTAGAAAACAATCGGCCTGTTAATCAACAATGAACATAATTATTAATTGCAATTGTTAGACACTGTATGTCGCAAGTCCCTATGAAGCTCCAGGAGAAACGCTCACATGTGAGATGATGCAATAGTAACTTGTTTTTTGTGATATTGCTTTATGGTAATTCTTTTTTTTCAAATAGGCCAGCCTAGTTTGTGGCACACTTCTTCACAGTGGGTTTCAACAAATGTATTCAAAATAACAAATATTGGTTGGTTTTGTAATAATGAATACTATAAAACAATAAAAATGTAAGACAAAAATAGAATCTCTTCTTCAGACAATGCTTGCTGTTGTTGCTGGGGAAGCTTGGGGCTTTGGTGTTATGCTAATAACGTGTTTGAATGTGAGATTTCCCCTGACAAAGGGGGAAAGATGAGAGGGGGGATGGTGCGCAGGAGGAACAGAAGAAGAGGGGAGTCTTTGGACAACCCGCGAGACTTTGGTGGGCGTGGACACAGCTCGGGCTTCCTGCTCGGTTGAACACGTGGTTCCGTGTCAGCCTCCCTGCCTGTCTGTCAGTGTGTGAAGGTTTTCTTCTCTCACTCCTCTCCCCTCTATCCTCCCGTGCCACACAGCAGACTTCCTTCTCTCGTGACTCTGTCCCACCCGCACCTCCTCCTGCTCCTCCGCGTGCGGCTACACTTAGCTTCTCCTCTTTGCTACGGCTCGCGTGGACTACCGACATCCAGGCCGCGGTCCCTTCAACGTGTATCTTCTCAATAGAGTGTGAAAGTGTGTGTGTGCGACAGAGATTGTGTGTGCGTGTGCGCGCACCCGCAGCCGGTCTCTCCGTGTTCTTTCTCCCCCGCCATCCCTCCTCGTTGTTCGGTCATGACGCTGGAATCGATCCGCTACCGGGCCGGGTCTCTGCAGATCCTGAACCAGCTGCTGCTGCCACACCAGACTACTTACGAGGAGATCCGTTCGGTGCAGGACGCTTACGAGGCCATCAAGTCCATGAAGGTACGGAGCCCCTTCCTTTCTTTCTTCCTCTCTCTCCTCCTCCCTTGCTCCCCCACTTCCCATCCGACCTGCTTGCCCGTTTGCTTATGCATTTACTTCCGTCGTGCATGTATTTTTTCTCGGGTCTCTTTTGTGCTCACACCGCTGTACGCATATGTTCCCAATATGCCTCTGTCGGCCTGTATTTTTGTTTTGGATGCACCTGCAGCACCCGCCATATGCCCCCCCATATGCCCCCCCATATGCCCCCCCCCCCATACAAAACCATCCTTTATGTTTAGTTTTTACATTATCATGTGCAACCGCGACAAAGTAAGCATCTGCACACAGCCACCCACCCATGCAATATGCCCCCTCTCTCCTCCTCCCCCCTCCCTACTCTTCTTTCTTTGGGAAAAGATTATTGATGAATTATTAATGACCATTGCCAGGGTTTTTGTTCGCGTTTGGGTCTTACGCTGCACTCAGTGACACATCCAGCTCATTTATCGCTCCGAACCTGAAGCCCTGACACAGAGAGGTGATCAGAGAGAGTTATACGTTCTGTAACAGCAGGGGAGGTTTTCAGATGCTCACTTATTAGGGCTGAGCAGATATTCAATCTTTTGTCTACCCGGCTTACACACACATAGTAGCAGACAGACGTAATATCGTGTGTCAGAGTGAAGGAATGTCCCATAACCAGCGGGTGATGTCATGATGGTAGACAGAGAAATGACTCCAGATGATATCATTTTATTTAAAGCTGCTGTGCCGACTTGCAGCTCTGTGATCACCCTCTTACAACTGTGGAAAGAGATTCATTATCCTCAGGAAAACTGGGGGACAGATGTAGGAAGTTGGCATAGAAACCAAAGATGAGGTCCACCATGTGATGCTGATTGTCCTCTTCCTCCTCCTCCTCCAGGTGCGGGGCGCCCCGGCCATCGCCATCGTCGGCTGCCTCAGCCTTGCTGTGGAGTTGCGAGCGGGCGCCGGGGGCGATGACCCCGTGACCTTCATCAGGGAGTCTCTGTGCCACCTGACCTCGGCTCGGCCCACCGCCGTCAACATGGGCCGCGCCGCCCGAGAGCTGATGGAGTTCGCTGAGAACGAGAGCATGGAGAAGAACTCCGAGCAACTCAGAGAAAGGTGGGAGATTATAAACTGCTCGTATTCAATGTTTCATTTGGTTTGGGGTCATTTCCTTAATTGAAACATTGATATAAAGAAAAGGTTTACATTTTACACTTACAGACCCTTTTCTAATGCGGTTTTGATTAAAGTAATGGGGACATTATTCACAGTCCTTTGTGTATGTAAAAACACATTTTGAAGCTTTGCAGTTTGGGCATCTTTAAAAGTTGTGTTTTTAACGACCTTATTCTCTCTTGGTGTAACAAAACTGTCTTGGGGAAACACGAGAGGACATTTTGCACAAAGAATACAGTCTGGTCAGACAAAGCCAGACTGGCTCTACATATTATTATTCTAGTACATAGGGAAAACGCTTTGGCTGGTATGTTTTTTTCATTTTTACCAGTCATATTTGTCCTGGGTTGCACTGGATGCTGAGTTGGTGCCCTTGCAATATAGATAGGGCAGTTATTGGAAGGGGAGGAGAATGGTGGCTGAAATTCTGGCGGCCAACAGCCGACTTATACTTGCAGACTACAACCGGAGTGTTGGACGCCTAGAGAGGGTACCTTTTTTCGGGACTACAAGCACAGATGCTAGAGACCGACGCTGTTGTTTTACACCGAACGTCTCATTTTCAGGTTGCCGGAATGTTATCTTAAATCATCATAGGTGGTTGTTTGCCTCGGTTAATGACAGAAACCCTTTTATGGCGATATTTGTGTCTCAATAAATGGTCAAAAACTGACTAGTCGGTTTATATAGGCCCCATTTAGAAATGAATACATTTTCTCAGCCACTGTACTTCTGCCTTGTTTCCCTTAATGTCAATACATGACCAAGATCCTGAAAGTGTGGAAGTGTAGACTTTTGATTTGCTTGCCTGTGTGTATAGCACCATAATGTAGCTATAAACAATATTGTTTTAAAGGTACCCATTGGAGATTTTGATAGTTAGTTGTCCTATATAGACATGTTTTTAAATATGAGTCTTTAGTTTGTTCCCAATCGCGAGGGTCCACATGCACATGAGTGATGCGATACACAATCCTCTCACTGGTTTAACAATCTACCATTGATCTACTGTCAGCTGTTTGGCAGGGAAGGAGAAGACAGTTAGCAGGTAAACATGGATGTTAACAATGCTGGCTCCAAACAAAGAACAACGTGTTCTGCATTTTGAAATATATTTGTTTTGCCTTAAGGATAACGCAGTGACTGTTAGTAGAATGTAAACGGAAACTCCATAGGACACCTTATGGGTGACTCTGTCAGTGACCAATGTAAAGGGAAACGTATGAACTACTGAGAATTTAAATCATCTAAACCTGTGCTTTTGCTAAAGAAAGGTGTGGAGCTGATATAGCACTTCCTTGTTTAACACAAGCTGCAGGTGTATCTTATACAAAGTTGTGAAAGTTATCGAAACACACAATGTGAAAATTAGGAAGCCTGTATATTATACATGTCATTACAGATGGCTTGTCAGCGTGAGAGAGAAGCCCTGAGTAGTGTTACTTTTAACAGTATTCATTTGTTCCACATGACTGTAGTTTGCAGGAAAGAAGCAGAACACATGTGAGGAGCTGAAAGAGATGTTAGTGTTGATAGAATGAAAAGTATCAAGGTGGATAATGGCTGTCATGTTGGGGCAAAACATCGCCTTAAGAGTGGAGATTACCCGTATTGGTATTTACTAAATATCATATAACCAGTCCGCATCTATTACAGCTTCTTTGTAAATGTCATTATAGAAGCCAGTGTTTCTGATATCAGTTACAGTCACGTGCCACAGCGGCGCCATGCCCCAGCATCCCTCGTGCCCTCATAATGGATATAACTATGATTCAAATGAATTCCAATACGTTATTTTTTTAACTTCGTGATAGGAAAGTGGGAATCTGATCGGCAGATGCCCTGAAGTTGAGGGGTCCGGATTTGTAACCAAAAATAAAAAGATAAGGGCTGGGCATTATATTGATATTCTAATGAGCCTAGATATCTTCTTAGATTTTTAGACGGCAGTTGTTGTCTGTATGCATTACAGTAAATTGATGTAAACCGAATTGTTCTATTATTTGTCTTTACCCAAACATTATATTCACACTTCTCATGATAACTTAAAACAATCTTGTTGTGTAAATTTCTTATTAAAGCATCAGAAGTCAACCCTACACGTTTGTCGCAATACCGATATTGTGTTATTATGTAAAACATATTGTGATGTTTTTGTTAACGCTATTCTTGACCATGAGGAAATTATGATAGAACTACAGTAGCAGGAGCGACGGGGGGGATAAGGTGCAAAAACTTTTAGAACAAATATTATGGTTTAGAGCAGGGCTGATTTTGATGTGGCCCGCAAGAGCTTGCAAAGAATATAATACGTTTATTATACGATTACATGCCTCTTTACAGAAGCACGTTGTCCATACACTACATGTCCCACAATGCATCTCATTTTGTGAAATGAAGAGACTTGCAATTATTTGCCCTAGACTTCTGCTTTCAGACGTAGTTAATTATGAAGTTATTACCCTATCCGATAATAATCCAAGGCAGAGGCAATAATGTAATATAATACATAATTTTATATATGTATATTTATATAGTCTTAAAGTTACAACTGGCCCTTTTGAGTGCAACCATAATACTAATGTGGCCCGCGATGAAATTGAGTTTGACAGCCCTGGTTTAGAGAAATGGATGAAGATGCAGAGAAGTCGGGCAGAGGCATGCAGACATATTGTAGCTGCAGACTTGATGGACGGGCTGGGTCCACAGTACCAGATGGAGCCTCTCATCATTTCCCATCTCTTGTGCCCGCCTCCCACAGTGTAATCTCCTGGATCGAAGACATGCTGGAGCGTGATGTCAACGACAACAAGAAGATCGGTAACTATGGCGCCCAGCACATCCTGTCCGGCGTTCCGAGGGACTCCGTGACCATCCTCACACACTGCAACACCGGCTCGCTCGCCACCGCTGGATACGGGACCGCACTCGGTGAGACTGGAGCCCGGGGATGTGCAATGAGAAAAGAGGGTGAAATATTTATGGCACTGTCATGGTAATAATGTGTGTATTTGTGTCTAGGCGTGGTGAGAAGCCTCCACACGCTGGGCAGGCTGAAGCGTGTGTACTGCACGGAGACGAGGCCGTACAACCAGGGGTCCAGACTGACGGCGTACGAGGCGGTCGCAGAGGGAATCCCCGCTACCCTTATCACGGACAGCATGGCGGCCCTGACCATGAGAGAAATGAACATCACAGGTGTGTGTTTGCGTCCATTTTTCCTTTTTATTCAAAGGCTGCAGTCGAATTGTCAGTTTCTCTTAGGAACCTTCCTAACGGAGTGAAATGACCCGGAAGTCCCTCAGTGGCAGCCATGATAAGTGCCGTTCGAATTCTCTAGATGATAGGAAAGGAGGTTTCAAACTTCCTTTATAACCTCCTTTAGCTTAGGAACCACTGGATCTTCCTTTACGAAAGAAAAGGAGAAAATGCTGCCCCACAATGCCTTGCAGCCGCAGCATTTATGGCGAGGGAATATTCGGCCGTTCACGGAAACAACCGATTATGACCAAGAAATGATATCATGAAAGTTACGGTGCTTATTAAGCATGTGGTAAGTTGCCAAAGTGCTTTGTTTTGAACAATCATCAGTATTATAATCAAAAAAAGAAATATGAACGTTAGTTTTTACTGAAATGATCAAATAAAGTCAACATTTCACAGTCTTTACTGAGCTGTGTGGGGGTTGTTCAACTTTTAAAAGATGTTTGAATGGTGATGTACACAGTGATAGATTTTAAGGACTAACGTTTATAATAAATACATTTGTATTTATTATAAGATCTTTTCATACAGTCATACGTATTGGGATCATTTGTATTAATGTGGACCGGAGGGAGAGGGTGACGAGCATAAGTTTCACTTTCCTTTTTTATTTCAATAACAACCTCGTTCATGAAGAATTTATGTTTCTCTGTTGTCCACGTTCATAAAGCATAAAACAACAGCATCAGAGCATGGTGCAGAGTCTCTAGATGAGTTTACAGTAGTCCCTCGTTCTTATTAAACATCCATGTTGTAGTCCGCTGTATAGAAAACTGTAGTTTCCATAGTTTCCCCACAGCAGCAGACGCACATTTATGACCTCCGCTGGCGCGTCATAAACACGTCGGATAGTGAAAGTGCAGTCGGATTCTCTAAAGTACCGCAGTCTCTTCTCCTAAATCCTTTTGAATTCTCCTATCCACTATCCTTTAACCCCGTGACGTTTCACTCAGAGGTCAAGGGATAGACGCTAGGGATAGACGATAGGGGCTGATTTTTGGACTATTCGACTGCAGCCAAATGTTCCTCTTTCTAGTGCTAACCATCTCCCCATTTTGTTCCTCCTCTCAGCTGTGGTGGTGGGTGCAGACAGGGTGGTCGCCAACGGTGACACGGCCAACAAGGTGGGCACGTACCAGCTGGCCATCTCCGCAAAGCACCATGGGATTCCCTTCTACGTGGCCGCACCCAGCACGTCATGTGACCTGAGCCTGGAGAGCGGCAGGGACATCATCATCGAAGTGCGCCCCCCCGAGGAGCTCACCAGTATAAACGGAATACCCATCGCTGCCCCTGGTAAGACGTGTGGGGTCTTTGGGGTTTTTAAAAGAGGGGAAGAAATCACAATGTGATTTTATTATTTAGAACGAACAGGAAGTGTTATAAACAGTAGGTTGAGTTGAATGAGAGCCATGGGAAAATATTCAGGCTTGGGGACACTGTTCCAATGTCCGCCCTCAGCCTTAAGAACCAAACTCGTGCAGACTTTAACTTAATTGAGTAAAAAAAAAGGAGGGGGGGGGGGGCATGTGTGTGACCACTTAAGTGTTAGGCTACAGGAATGTGCTGCTATCTGCTTGTACATTTCTTTTGAGGGCTCTCTCAAAGTTTTTGAGGATGAGGGGAAATTATTTCCAACAAAGAGCCCAGATTCAAACACAGTTGCATTTCATGGCCAGTGCCTCGACCTCTAGACAATCATTGAATCATCAGCATTTTTTTTACATTTGGATGCTATAAATTGGGGTCAAGTCCCCCTAAGTCTGCACAAAAATAATTATGAAGGTGTCGCAATGGGACAGTCCTGAGCTCTTGCAGACTTGTGCATCAAAGTCTATGAGTCAATGAGAGTGAACATTGTAAGTGTGTTTTAGTTGAATTTGTTAGCGCTGAATTGAGTAATTTGATCTCTAATTACGTTGCCAGAGCGGAGAGGTGCTCGGTAACATCACAGTAATTAAAACACTCATTTAATGAGCACACTGGCCCCCGGAGAGGAGTGCCCGTACAATCAATCAATCAATCAATCAATCAATCAATCAATGTTTATTTATATAGCCCAATATCACAAATGTTACATTTGTCTCAGTGGACTTCACAGTTTGTACAGAATATCAGTATGACAATACGACACCCTCTGTCCTTGGACCCTCACATCGTACAAGGAACAACTTCCAGAGAAACCCCACAGTTTAAAGGGGAAATGGGAGAAACCTCAGGGAGAGCAACGGAGGAGGGATCCCTCTCACAGGACGGACAGACGTGCAATAGATGCCGTGTGTAAATTGAAAAGATAATACATTTACAACATAGGTAGTCCAAATGTTTGGAAATGCATGTGTCTATAATAAGAAGATGAATCCACAAGGATGTCAACAATCTTGTGGGAGCCATCAGGGAAGTAGTATGATGAGAGTCAGGCAGGACCACAGTGACAGGTTCAGCCACGACTCAGGATGCAGGACTCAGGATCCAGGACCACAGCAACAGGCACAGCCATGACTCAGGATCCAGGGCTCAGGATGCCGGATCCAGGGCTCAGGATGCCGGATCCAGGACTCAGGACCACAGCAACAAGATCAGCCACGACTCAGGATCCCGGCGTAGATAGACACCAAAAAGAAATTTGGGGAAGCTGGGTTATTCGGAACATGAGAGTACACAGGTACAGACAGAGAGAAGGAAGAAGTAAGGTGTCCCCCGACAGTCTAAGCCTATAGCAGCTAAACTAGGGGCTGAATCTAATCAGCCCTAACTATAAGCTTTATCAAAAAGGAAGGTCTTAAGCGCATTCTTAAAAACGGATAGGGTGTCTGCCGCCCAAACACAAACTGGAAGCTGATTCCACAAAAGTGGAGCTTGATAAGAAAAGGCTCTGGCTCCCATTGTACACTACGTTTCACTCTCTCTCTTACTTTCTTCTTATTCCTGTCTGGTCCTTTATGTCGATTTGCATTTTTAAATAAATGCATACAGCTCTTTATTTGTATCTTTAAACCATTACTTTGTATTTAAAGCAACAGCAATGAACTGATGGTGTTAACAGGTAGCCACAGTCTGATTTCATAGTTTGAGTTTTCTAAAAAAAGCGACTAATGAGACACGCAGTTGCATTTGTTCCCTTATTTATGCATTACCTTAAACAGGCACTGCAGGTTATTTCAAGTCAATCCCAACACCCTCCTGCTGCTGTAAATAATGACTGGAGCACCGAATGTGGATTCATCTGGGGTGGATAATGGTTCCTGACAATTGTTTTCAGCAGCATTTACATCAAAAGCTATAGTGCCCAGCTGTTTTGGGGAATTGCTGACAGTTTTTATAAATAGACTTTATATATTAGTGATTGTTTGTTAGATTTTAAGTTTCTGGCTGCCACAGAACAAACGATCATCCCAGTTATTCCCATGTGGGAAATAATAAAGTGAGAAAAGAAGTCGCAATGCAAAGATTCTGTCAGCTGAGGAAAAAGCTTAAAAAATACAAAATTAACTGAAAAACGATTCAAATTGTTATCTATAAACCATTTACATAATTGGCTAAAAGTAAAAAAAAAACAGGTACAGTTGTAGTTGTAAGCTTAAAATGAGTACTACATCTACTATAAAGAATGCCCACGTTGTTCTATCATAATATTACATGTACAGCACTTTGGCCCGACCAAAAATCGCTTTTAAATGTGCTCTATAAATAAACCTTGATTTGATTTGATAATATGATCAACTAAAAACAACCATCTCTAGAGTTTACAGAGTATGGTCGGAAAAAGGGAAAATATCCAGTGAGCTGGGCAGAAAATGCCTTGTTGAGGCAACAGTAACTGAAATAACCACTAATACAATCAAGGTATGCAAAAGTGGTGGTGTAATGCTGGGGGATATTTTCTTGGCATACTTTAGGCCCCTTAGTACCAATTGATCATCGTTTAAACGCCACAGCCTACCCCGAGTAATGTTGCTGACTTGAGACTGAGAAAAGTACAAAAGTACAAAGCTAATTTTGTTTAGTAAACAGAAAACTAACATTATGTGGATCCAGCCTCCCATTCATTGTCTATAGAGCAGCTCCAGACTTTATATCTGATGACATCACAAGTTTGAGACTAACTTATTTGGTTTCTGACTTTCCCAGGCCATGAATACACATCAAGGATTTTTATATATTTCGATGGTGTTTCCCCCTAGTTGTAAGGTTAATACAAAATTGTGGATTGGCAAAATGAAATAGTGTAAAAACATCGTAAATGTAAATAGTTGAAATAAATGGCAGTGTTGGGTTCGTCTGTCGTATGGGTCCAACTATGAAAGAAACCCACTGAAGTGTCGCCAAACTTTAACCATATTAACGATTAACCGTATTTCTCATTCCTGCCTGTTTCCTGCAGGTATCGAGGTGTGGAACCCGGCGTTCGACGTGACCCCTCACCAGCTCATCACGGGAGGCATCATCACAGAGCTGGGGGTCTTCCTCCCCTCTGAGCTGCAGGCGGCCCTCACCGGCCGCCTCACCGCCCTCTAGAGCCGCTCAGCGCCACCTGCTGGTCTGTGTGCACCACTGCACCTTAACGTTCACACACTCAAAGACACTCTCATTTCATCACAGAACACACACAGTCATAGTTGTGGACTCATTTTCTGTTGGTCACTGCACAGTCACTGGTACATGTCGGTGGTGCACACACAAGAAGACAGTGTTCTTCAGTCTCACACACACACACACACACACACACACACACACACCGCAGGGAGTCAAGCAGACACATGTGCAGTCTCCCCTTTTCTTTTACGTCCCTTTACGTTTTTTTCTGTGGTCTTTCCATTTCACCCTTGTCTTCCATCCCATTTTTCATTCTCTCCTGCCACCTCCTTCTCAAAGGCTTCTGCAACGAAAAGGGCTCAGCTGGACTCAATCCTGAATATTGTATTTGGCAAAAAAAAGACAAATGTTCAGGGCTTCTTTAATTGCAAAAAAAAAATATTGATCTTGAAGTAGTGTTTTTTTCACAGCCATGTTTATTTAAATGCTGCTACCCACTTTGTAAATATACATAATCTTGACGTTAGTGTGTGTACATATGTAGAAAGCTAACCCCTGTTACTAAAAGGTACTGCTATTTTAACCAAATGTGTGGTTATTTGAATTTTAAATTTGACATTCAAAATGTTATATTAACATTTACTTTATTTGGTTTCACTTAGAAACCTTTTGTAGAAGAATAAATAAACGTATGGCTCATAAATCTCACAGCCAGAGTTTTAGTGAACGTATTTCACTCTCGTTTTTACCCCCTGCGGCAAAATTTGGAAACTCTTGATTGGTCCTCGTAAGTCAGCTGAAGCCTATGAAGATACATGGCTGTGTTTATACCTCACTCCTTGTTTGTATCTTGCTATTCCCAGTTGTAATGTATCATACCACACTTGTATTCTCATAATGTAATTATATATATATGTAACCATACTTATTTCAGCACCATACACATATTCACCATACTGCACAGGACGCTCTGTACGAATGAAAGATCTACACAAAAAAAGGGAAATTGTGTCATCTTTGCCATAACAGCTTTTGCTGAGATCTCAGAGGTGTGTTATGCTGATGTATTTCTGCTATACAGGCATCACCGTTAAAGGAATAGTTCACCCTAAAGCAAAAGTTGGGTTAGCCAACTTAATTGATGTTTGTGCCACTACAAAATACATATGTAGCTTCAGGCTTATCTCAAAATATCTTTAAACAATAGGTGATCGCTTCTCCCAGGTGGCAAAAACTAGCAATTAACCCATCACCTGTAGTCTTGACATAATTGTGCAGATATCTTAAAAGTATTTAGAGAAACATGACGTATACTCAGAAGTTGAAAAGGGAAATCTGAGGCTAAATAGTTTGGCTATAAAATCAAAACTTTATTTTGAGGTGAACTATTTCTTAAAGATTATTCTCACTGAGTGTCTAGACTCAGTGAGCTGTGCGACACAAGGCGTGTTGGCATCAACAATCAGAATGTAATGTTCAACTCAGATGGATTTTCTTTCGTCATTCAGGACAGACAGTATTTCAGACACTTGGCCATGTTGTGGCTTTGTGCTGTTCCGAATGTGTTTCAACTGTTTGGACTATCCCTCCTCAGACTGACTTCCACCCGACTACTCCATGAGATCAGGGCCATGGGCGACCCAGTAGTTAGACAGGACCCCTGAAGATGGAAACAAAATAAGTTTGAAGGGCAGAAATGTTTGAATTCAACTTTAATTTGCAGACTAAACAACGGGGGAAATTGTTTATCCAGCACTGAATACAATTAGTCAATTAAAAAGTAATCAGTCATTATTTTGATAAAATACTCACTTCCGTTATTTTTAAATAAGACTAGCAAACAGAAGTTTTGTTTTTGTTTTATGTTCATCATTCATTTGTAACCCTACCTTTTTATAATGCACCAATATTGACCATAGTAACTTTGCAGAAGCCAGTTTTAAATCCTGACTGTAACCTACTATTAACACATACTATTAACCAGTAAACTGGTATTGATTATGAAGCTCCATAGAAATGTCCCAGATAACTCGATCTGTTCGGGACACACCCGCTCGCTGCACTGAATGTCACAGGGCCAGTTTTCGGGGGGGCCCACACTGCTCACTGCCTTACAGGTGCAGCACCATTATAGCTCACTGACGGAGCTGGAATCATGACCGGAGAGACAGCAGTCCTTCCTTCACCCTGCTTTCTGACCTCACACGCTTCCCTTGTGGACTTTTGTGTTTCACTTCATTAATTTAAACATAACATTTATAACCTTTCGCACTCTGCAGGACAACCGAGTCACCCAGAGAAAACCCACAAAAAAAAGCTTAATGTCAAGAATAATCACTGCAGAATCCATAGTATCATTGCTGTAATATAAGCTCACTTCTTCCTTTATCTTCCTACTCTTCGTTTGTCCTCCTTTTACCCATTAAACCTCAACTCACAAAGATGCTGTTAGGTCACACATGAGTGTAAAAGACACTTTTCTTTCCTTTTGTTTTGTACAGTTCAAGACATCACGTGTTTGGGAGCAACTTTAGACGATGTTCCAGACATATGTAGCAAATTTGTAGCGGTCAGACCCGCTAGGTATTATTTTGGTTTTTTTAATCTTTGAGAGGAACACCATTTTTGTTTGTCTGTACATCACGATTATAACTGTTATGCTGTGATTTGTTTATTTGTTTCATGACATTGTGATTCCTAGTGACTAGGCCATTAGTACACCACACTGGGGAGGCCTCCTCAACCATACACACTACCTCTCCGCCTGCCCACACGGACTCAAACACTGAATGCATAAACACATGCACTCAGTGTGCCTGGCTGCAGCACAGCTGATTGACAGATTTAAGAAGGAAAACAAATCTGGACTAAACTATCCATGTTTGTACCGTGAACCCATAGTGACAAAATAATTTGTGGCAGTGCTTTTTGTTTGCCAAAGTCGCCTGTATTCAGGCCAGTGTGTTAAGTTGGGTTTCCACTGAAATGTTTCTGCATCACGCCATGTTTTTTACATCATGCTTTTGAAGCAGCAGCAATATGGTACTGTGTTATAAAAGATATGTTCCAACAACCTCCAACACGCGCCTAATAATCAGGTGCCAAAATTCAGCGCTGCTTGCCATGTATTTTCCACATGATTTCACTAAACAAAGCAGGTGTTTGTGTATTATTCTCAATAATTAGTATGGCCTGCAGTCACCATGGAAGGAGTGTTGTTCAGATGGCCTCTTTAAGTGCAAGTATGTTATTGTTGTTATTGATAATCACTTGATCTGGTTTTATTTTGTAACATGTGGAAATGGAAAACTGGATTTTTTTTTTTAATATATATGTATATGAATATAATGCTGTAAAGTGCAGTCATTAATTAAGAGATGTCTCTTTCACATCAATACAGAAAAAGAATAAATCCACAGTGAAATTAATTGAGTTGCTTTTGTCCGTCTCTGTTTAATATACGCTTGTCACTGGGAGTCTTCCAGGGGGCGGCAAAGTCACCAAACAGGAAGTAAACCACTCCTGACAACGTTGAAGAAGAACAGTTTCTTTGTGTACCTCCGGTTAGCAAAATGGCTCAAGGTTCGAAGAAATTTAAAGTTCAGCGGCCAGGAATCTCTAAAAAACCCCATCCAACCAAGCCGAAAGGACAGAGGAAAGGAGGTATGCATTTAAAGTATTACTTGTAATCTAACGAGTTGCTCGGAAAATATGATATGTTAGTCAAAAAGCATTAACGCGTGACATGCGTGGAAACAGCTGAACACGTTTTAGTTAAAAGTGACGCGTGTTGGGATATTTACAATATCAAGCAGATATGAAGACATTGATTAATATTAGTTGTTCTCCTTCCTTCAAAATATTATATTCATCATTAAACTAAGAGACTGGCTAAATAAAACCATGTGAAGGCTTATGCTCTGTGTCGCAGGTACTTTGAGTTGAATAACGTAGCTTAGCTCTACTTTAGCCAAATATACTAGAACCGATGTGTTTCATATCTTTAAGGAAAACTACTGACTACATGTTCTTCGCCTGTGTTAACTTTATTATGTATTATAGTGGATTTAGTGAGCAAATTAATATTCATCAGCCACTGTTTAATAGCTGTAATGCTTACATATAACCTTTCTTTAGGAATTCAAACAAGGAAATACATTGAGGTATTCCACTTTTCATATACACTCTGGTTAATATACAGTCAGTTGGATGTTTTAGTTCAGGTATATACCTAGCTAAAAGGCTAATACCATAAGTAGTAAATGTAGTAAATCCTACTTTCATGAAGGTAACGATGTTCAGTCTTTGGTGCAACTGTTAAATTGTATTGTTTTATACAAAAAATGCTTCTTTGAATCTGTTTGTTAGTGAAGACTAACTTTTTTTTTAAAAACTGAGTAAAACACCATAAATTGAAACATCAAACACAACAAACTATAAAAACAGATGCCTACAAAATGACCAATTGCATTTCAGGGCTATCTCGTGTTAGACAGTTGCATTTTTAAAGTGTGTCTTTATTATTTAATTTGAAGAACTGATGGCAACAGCTTTTGGGAATATGACAGTGATGTTATTGCTTTCTTTGTTAAGGGAGGCTCATTGCACCAAAGAAGGCTCACGTGGTTGAGGAACAGAAGCTGAAGAAGGTGAGGACATTTCTAACGTTTCTCACATCTCTTACATCCTGAATTGATTACATAAAAGAGCTTGACTGATTCCTTGTATAATATGACCTCCTCTGCTGCTTCCTAAAGGCTTTAGAGATTGCCATCAGGAACAAGATTGAGATGGAAGTGACCCATAGGGCAAGCACATGCCTGCATAAGCCACTGAGTGTGGTGAAAGGGGCTGAACGGCCTGAAGGCAAAGGCATCCCAGGACTTCCCCGTCCAGATACCAGCTCCAAATAGGACCGGATACAAAACCCTGAGGCTGACCGTGCTAAACTTAAGGACTTAGTCACGGGGTCATTTAACTACATTGATCCCATGACTCAGATTTAAGATGCATGCCAACTGTCTTGCTGTTTTTATTATTCCTAAATATTTGTAGCTGACTTCAGTCATACAGAAATAGACTGAGCCCCTCTTGTACAGATGTTAATTCTTACTTTTCAGTTTACAAAGAAATGTATACATAGAGATTCTGAATGTGATCTGCAGGACTCTGAGAATTGCATAAACCCTCACTAGGGGGCACCACAGGACTTTCTTTACTCATGGAATTTGTGATGGGTTGAAATGCTGCAAGAAAATATGATTTTATGATGTTTGTGCTCTACCACCCTGCAACTGTTTTGTAACATTCTTTGTATGATTGTACAGCCAAAAATGAATAATAAGAATAAAACCACCAGTCACCGATATGAATCCTTTGAAGTATGTTCGCCACACTTTGTTACTTTTTCTCAGGGAAGTGCTATTGCACATGGAACGTGTTGACAATCACAGGTAGCTTTCCCACACAAGCCCACCTGTTTCAGTGAGCTCAAAGCTGTTATTTACTTGAACTGGTAACATGTGGAGCCATGTGCTTCCACAGGCAGCCTATTTAAGTGTGTACACTGTAGGATTAAGTAACACTATTTTGCATGGGCACCTGGCACTTCCCACAATGCAACTAGAATGTCATCAGTTAGGTCAGGTGTCGTGCTGGTAGCAGCTAATGTAGCTTTACCACAGTTGAAATTGGAAGAGTTCCCCTTTGAGGTACACTACGCATTTGGGGTCTTAAATGAAAAGCCGTGAACCAGAGCATTGTACTGTATGTCACAATGGTGATTCACCATTGTACCCTTGTTTGGCTTTGGGTTGTCTTGAATAAACAGCAACACCTAAGGAATGGGCTTGAGGTTTCTCAAGTGCTGTATCAACAGACCAGCACTGTGACAGCTAACCAGCCAGTGATAAGACTGAACGCTGTCAACACTCGCTCTCAAGCAACCCGTTCCAGAACACAATTGGTAAGCTTCTTGAGGAAATAGAGCTTATATACAATATGTATAAAAACACACTAAGTACCACAACGTGAGCTGTCTTTTATGAGTTTTTTATTTTTATTTGAATCCATTATGGATGTCGCTTCTAACTCATGCAGCTAGCTATATGTATGCTTTTAGTTAAGGTTTCTATGCTTTACAACTACCACTCAGAAACATACCAATGACAGAATGCATTATGCATTTGGTGCACAAGGACAGCACTACCATTCGAAAAACAATCACATAACAAGGTAGTTGTGAAAAGGGTTAGTAAAACCCAATTAAGCAGCACTTATTTCTAAAGCAGATCTGTAGTAAGTACAGTGCAAGTCTAGTAAGCTTTAATGGAGTGGTTGGAGCGCAGGAACCTGGGGAAGGAGTCTTTGGCCATCAGATTGTAGATTCTCTGTTGTGCCTCATCGAATGTGTCGGCACACGGAGAGTCCGTCACTCCAAGCAGAGCCTCCCGAGTCTCAGCGTCCAAGTTTACCTGAGGGGAAAACAGATTATCAGAAGAAGCTCTTTATTTATAGGCTCCTCGTTATCCTGACTGCACGCATCACTCTCCTCTCCACAAACCTCCTGTGGGGCGTCAGGGTTGATAAACTGGTTGTAGATGCTGCTGGACTTTATCTTCTGCACGTTAGAAGGAGAAACTCTGTACTCCTGACAGGCCAGCCAGAACTCCAGGTTCTCCTCACTGAACTCTGAGCGCAGGAACCCACGAAACGCCTGCAGAGCGCCTGGTTGAGAGGGAGAAGAACAAACCAGAGTCAAACATTAGTCAAATCAAGAAGAGTTAACATTAGAATATGGAAAAGCATGATGCCAGAAAAACTCAGGCCACATAAAGACCAACATTTCATACAAAGACATTTTCATGCTTGCTGTGCGACACTGTGTTAGAGCTCTGTATTCCACTCAACACTTCCACTCAACACTTCTAACAGCTTTGCCATTTTTTATTAAGTATTAAAACATCAACAGCAGCCAAATTGCAAGTGACATTTATTGGAAATAAACTGTGTAGAATAAAGAAGAGTCATAAGGTCACAGAACTAGCCAACTGACATTACATTACATGTTACTTGTTAGACGCTTTTATCCAAAGCGACTTACATACTCAATACTGTGGACAATCCCCACAGGAGCAATTTGGGGTGAAGTGTCTTGCCCAGGGACACAACGACATGCTGACTGCAGTGGGGTTTGAACCTGTGCTCCCCTGATCCGAACACGTTGTCTTAAATGTATGAAATACGTCTGTGGTTAACAAAAAATTAAGAAATGATCCCACTTTGTTCTATGACATAAGATATCAGTAAATATCCCACTTGTGAATTTTGAAACATCAAGCTAACTGTCTGATAAAGTTTTGTTAACATAAAAACATTAGCTTTTCACTTCAGTGTTCATCAGGGAAGATTATCTTTTTGAACAGAATATGTAAGTCTCTGCTATAATCTAAAATTCATAGATTTTGGCTTTGCTTTTGGTCAGTGGTACCATTGTATTGCTAACATCCATGTTGTTCTACAAAAAAATATAATTCCTGCAGCGCTCGATTTGAGAAAAGAAGATTTTGTTCATAGTAAATCCTAGTTTTGGTCAGTTCAAACTATATCAGAACCATCAAGTATTGTTGTTTTTATCATCGTTATCTTTAAATGCTAATATTGAGTCACTGTTAAACCATTAAATAGCCGCTTCTTGTAGAGTACAACCTGATGTCCCTGAGGGTTAGTGTTGTTTGAACAGAGTTGTGTTCAGACAGACTTAATAGCCTAATGTAAGATATAAGTATGGAACTACCTGCTGTGCAAGCTGCATTGGAGAACATTTGAAAATGAAAAAAGACAAGAATTGGGTCTTTTTCACATTTGGACTTTCCCTAGTCGAAAAAGCACAGGTGTTACTCATAGTTACCTCGACAGTGAGCCAGCATGAACAACACCAGGACCTGAGACGGAAGCAGCTCATTCACAATTGTATCACTAGCACTAGTGCTTTTCCATTTGTCAAATGTCTTCTGTAGAGACGTATTGCATTTGTTGTTGAAACATTAAACTGACTTTGGGTGGGGGGAAAACAAGACATTCTTACTTCTGTTTTTCAGCAGAGTCTCCAGGTCAAGGGGAACTCTTCCATCCTGACCCCTGATAAGAAAAATGGAAACGGTAAAAATTCAGTTTCACAGTGATATCTGGTAGATTTACTTCTACTACTCAATTCCACAAAAAAAAAGATTCCAGAAGGTTTACTTTAGCTTGTGGTGCGTCTCAGTCAGATGGCTTAACTTCACCCGCAAGTCTTTTGCCCTGAAAACAGAAACATTATCATTAATTGTAAAAAATCTGCCATCAGTGATTTGCATAGAAAACAAATGATCCAGCTGCATACTCACCTCTCCAGGCATGAGGAGGGCAGGGAGGAAAGTCCCTTACACATTTGTGCGTTTGAGAAAACGTAGAAAGGTAAAATAAAGACAATTTCTTCTGAGTTTTTCCGTCACTCAGCCTCCCGAGCTTCAGAGTGCTTCTCTTATATAGCCTACCTGTATGTTATCTGATCTGTCCGATCCTCTAATAACAGCAGCTGTAGGACAGGAGTTGAATGAGAGAGGTGGTGTACGTGCTTACAGTCCACATAGGCCTGTCAACAGGAGACAGCACATAGAATAGGATAATTAAAGCAGGGTGACTTCCAGTACATGTTTGTGTGGTCAGGCATCACTTACTTTCTTTAGAGTCCGACCGGCAGGTGGACTGTTCACATCACTCATCTCTGGAGAGGTACTGCAGCATGGAGAGGTGAGTGTTAAATGTTGACGGATGAGGCTGGACAAAACAAGACAGAACGCCTAAAACACCATTAAAGCCCCTGTGCAATAAAAATAGTACCTCCTTTTTCTCATTTGTTATGACTTGTACTTTGTGTTTTGGAAACTGCATATGGAGCTCTCAATCAATGTGGATCTCCCTGCAAATGATGTTGTGTCATGAAACTGTCCCATTAAAGGTTGGGTAGGTAATTCACTTCAGAAACACTTTTTGTTATATTCCATGGAATGCTCTTAACATCCCAATAGCAATGAATACATTAAATGCTTTGACAATAAATACATAAAAAAAGTTCATCTGTGGAAGCCGTGGTGCTGTAATTTCACTGTGTGACATTAAAAAGAGGGTTCACAATATCCTCTATTTCCATCATAACATATTTTACCCCCCTCCACTCGGATATGTATTTTACTTAAAGGTCCTTCACTTTGACCTTCACTGTGCAGAATGATGTACAGTATACTCTGTTTGTTTGCACTTTCAAATCATGTGTTGGGGGGGAACTTTAAGTATTAATAGCTATATACTGTTTATTTGCACTCACCACTCTGGCCACTTCATTATGTACACTTGTACAACCTTATGTAATTTAACAACACATATAGTACATATTCAGATTATCATTATTATTGTTAAATATTTAACCATACCTTTATCACTGAGGTAGTTTGTAGTGGTTTTGTAGCTTTATATTGAGAGATGTTTTAACATTTTGTCCACCCAAATTACAAATATTACCTTTTTCACAGTGTCAACAACAACAATCTTATAGGCTCAGTAAAATTCATGGCAGAGATGTTGAATTGTAGCCTACATGTTTTCACATTATCACTTCTTAATTTGCTTTTGTCTTTTTTAGTATATTTTAGCCTATGTATGTTTTAAATGGTTGAAAATAATATGTTTATAGACTAAATCTGGTCATAATTTAGCACTGTTCAACAGTGACTGTTGACTTGTGACCTCAGTATTTAATAAATCCTCCAGCCCTGGTTGAGGATTCTTCAGTGTGATGTCAGGCCAGGGACAAATTGTTCTAACTGTCATTTAGCCAAGAGCCTATTTATCAATAATAAACAACATTTGTGGCTAGCACAAGACACTCTCAGTCGCCATTCATATGTACACAGTGTCCCAGTAGCACTCTCTGTCCTCCACACACAGGGAGCTCAGCTGACACTCGGCCGTCAGCGGGCTTCAGCTGCGGGGAGGAGGCTGCGTGCCTCTCCCTTCCTGCTTTCTCAACAAACATCGGAGTGAAATTTAAACCACAGAGCGGTCAGTAGTGGCAAACACAGAGAACCCCTGGGACCTGCTGAATACTGACGGAGCTGCTCGTTTTCCGTCCCATTAATCCGGTTTGAGGACAGTGGACTGAGCCCCGGACTCGCTGGTTCTCCTGCACAGTACCATGGGCCGCGGCTCGGTTTGGAGATAACAGTGAGTGTGTGACAAAATGGTCTCCAAGGGTTTGGAATAAGACCATAACAGCGAACATAACAGCGTGAGACACAAGTTTAACGCCGTCATGATTTTAGAGGCAAGCTAAATCGCTCGTGGCAACTGTAGGAATGTGGATCGACCTGTGCAAGAATCGATACATAGGAAACAAACACCTAATACTTTAATCCGTTATTTCCTCCAATCCCCTGTGTGTTTGGCAAATCAAAAATATTCCTTAGATTTTCAAAAATACAGAGTTTGAAATATGTTTTAATACAAAAACACTGTGGCTGCACAATCGTATAATATAATTTCTTAAATAAATATTCAGATTGCAGACACAGACGAGAGACCTTATGTAAATCTTTAATACAATCCAGATCTATGTAATACAAATTGAAGGCTATGGTGCCCGGCTGGCTGCTGGCACCATCTCCCTGTATCACAGGACCAAATAACAGAAATGTATATCCAGCAAAACATAACCAAATATATTAAAATTAAGTTTGAATCAGTGGTTTCCTACATTAATTGGTTTATGACCCCTTAAAAAAATGTGATGTCTGTTCATGACCCTCTATGGTGCATACATCTTTAGTTGTGGTCCATTCAAACTTGACATATTTTTTGTCTATTGTAGTTGAATAATTGTTGTCCGAAAAAGGTGAAATTATCCTTTAACAGGAAATGCAAAAAAATCTTAAGAGCAATGTTTTAATAAAATGTATTCAATCGATTCTTCCCCTGGGACTATCCTCATGTCTACTTAGGGCTTGAGCCTTTAGTCTACATTATCCAACAGTGTAACCTTGGAGTATAACTCTCCCCAACCTCCAACCACACTACTGCAGTCCAGTTGCATTGTGGTAAATGTAGGCGCCAGGTTTTCTGTTATAAAACAGACAACATATCTGGTTCTGTGCATGCATTGTAGTAAAACTGTCCATTGTGAGTGTGCAAATTGATGCCCTTGTGTCCATCAGCAGATTCTGACTGGCAACAGTTATGAGACCCCAATGGACATGGTTCCCTTGGGCGCACTGCCAGGAGAGCACCCCCCCTGATCCGGACCAGGACAGGGAGAAGATCTGGGCGGAGCTGTTTGATGAGCTAGACGTCAACAAAGATGGACACATCGACCTCCTTGAACTGCGGACAGGACTGGCAGGCAGAGGACTTTCCAAACGCTCCGTGGAGAGGGTATGACACCTGCATCACACACACACAAACTTTTACAATAATGTGTTGTAACCAACCAACCTTGTGGTTTAACCTGTTGTACATGTATTTTTGTTGTGAATACACGCAGTCTCTCTGTCTACTCTCAGTCTGTCTCAAACAGTTTGTTTTGGTAAGAAGACTTACTGTACTTACTCCCATTTTTTTTGCATGTTGTCATTCAAACAGCCGTAAAGCTATGGAAAAAGGTGTTTATACCCCAGAAGTGAGGTGTCATAAAATGTCTTAATTAATATGGGAATGGGTTAGATGGTTGGGTCATACAAACCCATGACTTTACCCAGGAGCATACTTGCCAACCCTCCCGATTTTCGCGGGAGACTCCCGATTTCATTGCCCTCTCCCGGTTTCCTCCCGGGGTCATATTTCTCCCGCATTTCTCCCGATTTCTGACAAAATCAGATTTACTTAGGACTGTTTCCACTCGGACTTTAATACAGCTACACCATTGTTTGGTTTCCATGGTAGTGCGTCTCATTAGTAGCGCGCGCAACTGAAAGTCTGAGAGGGTGAGGAAGATAGTCACAGCAAACAGAACAAGGATCGACAAGTCTACCCTCTGCTCACTCCTTTCCTGCAGTGCACTTACAACTACAATAAGCATGTTAATCTAATACAGTTCCGGCGATCCACTAACACCCCCGCGCGGTGGTTTTGGAAATGCTCCCGATTTCTGAGGTCTCAAGGTTGGCAAGTATGCCCAGGAGACAAGGGTTTGTTTCTACTTACATTGTTGGGACATCAACAGGTTTACACTTTTTGGGACAAAATGTATGTTGCCACAAAGTACCTTTTTAAAGTTACGGTTTTAGGTTGGGGGGGGGGGGGGGGGGGGTGGGGGTGTGTGTGTGGGTGTGTGTGTGTGTGTGTGTGTGTGTGTGTGTGTGTGTGTGTGTGTGTGTGTGTGTGTGTGTGTGTGTGTGTGTGTGTGTGTGTGTGTGTGTGTGTGTGTGTGTGTGTGTGTGTGTGTGTGTGTGTGTGTGTGTGTGTGTGTGTGTGTGTGTGTGTGTGTGTGTGTGTGTGTGTGTGTGTGTGTGTGTGTGTGTGTGTGTGTGTGTGTGTGTGTGTGTGTGTGTGTGTGTGTGTGTGTGTGTGTGTGTGTGTGTGTGTGTGTGTGTGTGTGTGTGTGTGTGTGTGTGTGTGTGTGTGGTTGTGTGTGTGTGTGTGTGTGTTAAAGGGCAGCATGTTGTCTATTTTGGTACAAGAAGCAGGACTTTGTAAGATGAGAATGACGACCTTTCCCATGGTCCTACACTTGATCTCTTTTCACATATAGATCATTGTCCAGCTTTTCTTCTTGACAATTTTGTATTGGTTTTGTTTACATTCTTATTTGCAATTTGTATTTTTTTTTAACCAAAATGTATTTTGGTTAAAGCTGATACAAAAGTTACTTAAAGATAATGATTCTCTAAACTTGCAAATTGATACAAATACAACAGGGGCAAATGTTCACCTTCTGGTTGCATTGACTACAACCAGTAGACTTGTGCAACTGGTGATGAGGGGTCTCAAATCAAAGCTTTACTTTAAGAGGTTTTAGACAGTTAGGGAACCACTAATTTAGACTGAATGTCAGACAATGAATTATATTTGTCTGGGACCACCTTCTGAAAATATTTAATAACACACTGTAAAATGTTTGGCTGTAAAATTACAGTAAATTACTGGCTACTAGTTGCATGGATTTCACAGTAATTGACTGTAAATATTTCACAGTAATTTACTGTAGATATTTTACAGTAATTACCTGTATTTTCAAACTTTTACTGTAAAAGTAATGCAACACAGTAGCCAGTGATTTACTGTAAATATAGAAATGTAAATTTGACTAGTTAACTGGGATTTTACCATAACTACACAATTCAATCAGCTCAATCAACAAAGAACATGCCCATTTTAACTTTGTATTACTCCATTGAATTGCAAAGTACATTTCACAGTGTCTTGGACATGTTGTTACGGCCCCAACCTCTACTCCGTGGTAGTGGCTCGTGCTGAGACCCGCAACATGAAAGAATACACGCAATAATCGGTACTTG